ATTTATAAAAAAATATAGAGGGTTTTTTAGCAATAAAACTATGGAGGATTTTTTAGTATTAAAATATATAAAGATTTTTAGCATTAAAGCTATCGAGGATTTTTTAGCATTAAAACACATAAATGATTTTTTAGCATTAAAACTATCGAGGATTTTTTAACATTAAGACATATAAAAGATTTTTAGCAATAAAGCTATCGAGGATTTTTTAGCATTAAAACATATTAATGATTTTTAAGCACTAAAGCTATCGAGGATTTTTAGCATTAAAAAATATAAATGATTTTTTAGCATTAAAAAAAAAAAAAAAAAAAAAAAAAAATATCAAGTAATATGGATCACACAAAAATATCAAGTATAGAAATCAAATTTGAAAGAAATAGAATATAAATATAGATAAAAATAAAAATAAACATATCAATTATTGTGTAACATCCAAATATATCAAGGACTATTTAGCAGCACCAACAAGAAACAAGTACTTTAAAAAAATTTTAGCTTCTCAAGTCAAATTTCCATTTCATTTATTTGTTTGTTTTTTATTCACCCACTACATTTATTTGTTATTTTAATTATTCACCCATTACATTTCATTTCATTCTATTATCAATATGGTGGTTAATTATGTATTCTGCGTGGTGGGATACATAATTAACCATTCAGCTCTAATTTACACTCACCCACTACATTTATTTGTTATTTTAAATATTCACCCATTACATTTCATTTCATTCTATTTTCAATATGGTGGTTAATTATGTATTCTGCGTGGTGGGATACATAATTAACCATTCGGCTCCAATATATTCACATATATCAAGTATTATTTATCACATAAAAATATCAAGTACTATTTAGCATTTAAAATATCAAGTATTATTAATCATATAAACACATCAAGTAATATTTAGCATTTAAAATATCAAATATTTATTTGCTAAAACATAAATAAACATATCAAGCAATATTTAGCATTTAAAATACCAAATTTTTATTTAGCATTTAAACATATCAAGTTTTATTTATTATTAAAAATATCAAGTATTATTTATCATTAAAAAATATCAAGTATTATTTATCATTTAAAAATATCAAGTTTTATTTATCATTAAAAATTTCAAGTTTTATTTATCATTTAAAAATATCAAGTATTATTTATCATTAAAAAAATAATGTATTATGGATCATAAAAAATATCAAATATTATATTAAAAATTTTAAAAAATACTATGTAATATGGATAACACAAAAATTTCAAGTATAATGTATCATTTAAAAAATTCTAGTATTATTTAGCATTAAAAATTTCAAGAATTATGTATCATTTAAAAATTTCAAGTATTATTTAACTTTTAAAAGTTAAACATATCAAGTGTTATTTAACTTTGAAAAATATCATATTATTCATTATTTAAAAATATTTAAAATATCAAGTATTATTTAAAAATATTAAATATTATTTAAAATAAATCAAGTATTATTTAAAAATACAAAGTAGTATATAACATTTAAACATATTAAGTATTATTTAGAATTAAAAAATATCATATATTAGGGTCATTAAAAATATCAAATATTATGTAATATTCAATCAAGTTTTCGATCAACTATTTGTTTTTTAGCATTTAAAAATTATCAAGTAATTTGGATCATATAAAATTTCTAATATTATTTAGAATTAAAAAATATCAAATATTATGTAAACATCAAGAAATATGGATCATACAACCAACTCTCATTAGGTATTTTGATTACATAGATACTGAGTTGGGCCCGCTTGGTATCTATGTTTTTGAAATTTACCAAATTTTCAATGTGATGGTTAATTATGGATACTGCGTGGTGGTATCCATAATTAACCACAAATATTCAAAATGTTGTTTAATTATTTATACTGCCTGAAGGTATAAATAATTAAACGCTTGGCTCTAATATACTAACCTCCCCGTGGTAGAGCTGGAAACACTCTTTACAAAGAGTGGCTAATAGTATAAAAAAATAAATAAATAAATAAAACAAAAAAATAATGGTATCAATACCATTTTATTATCTTTAAAAATTTATTATTAAGTCTTTAAATTTTTTTTTTCTTTTTTATTTGGGGATTATTTTTTATTAAACCATCTTTTATTAAAAGTGTAAAGGAATTGTAACTATATTGCTTTAAAATACATTTATTTATTTTTCTAAAAGTTTTACTAATTTTTTTAAATCAGCCGTTCACTATCAGTTTCAAAATAAGCAAATTTAGTAGTCGACTAATTTAGAAAAAAGATTTTTTTTTATTAAAATAATATTATTTTGTTGCCAATTTAAATAAATTTAAATGATTTAATTTGGAATGGATTGATTGTAATTGTGGTGTTAAAATCGAATGGTTGACCAATTGGCTCTTCTAAACCATTACATTCAATAATTGATTTAAATGGAATTGGTAATAAAGAGGTTTTGAAGTTGAAGGTAGTTCTGCCACCAAATGATTCATAAACTCTAATGATATGGCCATTTCCATCCTCTGCTTTTTTAATGGTTTCGAGAATAACCTGTTCTTTGTCTGTTGTGAGGAATGATCTTTGGATATGAGTGGCTGATGATAATTGGAATGGTTGATGGCCAATATAAAAGTTATTGTTTAATTCATAGCCTTCTTTGATTACATGAGAATCTTGGAGATTACCACGATGTGGATAAATCGAGTAAGTAAATGTGTGAATACCCATATCACAATTTTCATCTGGAGATTTTGGTGATCTTAACAATGATAATGCCATACGACCATCATTAATTGAATAACCATATTTGCAGTCATTCAATAATGATAAACCAACACCATAAGATTCTGAAAGATCTGCCCATCTATGACCAACGACTTCGAATTTAGCCCAATCCCAGCTAGAGTTATAATGTGTTGGTCTTGGTATGTGTCCAAATTGAATATCATAGTTTGCACTTGCTGATCTAATATTGGTATCAAAATCGACCTTGAGTATTTTATGTGATTCGTGCCAATCAACTTCAGTTTCGAAATCTATTCTTGCAGAGTTGAAATGAATGACAATTGATTGATTAATTGAACCAACACCACTTGGGAATCCTGTTGAATCGTAATGAGCTTGAATAATGGCACGAAGTGGACCTTTTTCGATAATCTTACAGCTTCCTTTTAATACTGATACTGGCTTCTCTAGTGAATAGATTTCCAAGCACCAAGCATCCCAGAATTTTGGAATATCTTCATAGATTATAAATCTATTACCCAACGATCCATTATCCTTTAATATTTCTCTTCCTGATGATAATTCGATTAAACTTTTAATGATACCATCAGCACCAATTATTAATTTGATATATTTATTGACAACCAAAATATCACCATTTGGTAATTGCTCAGTGGTAACTGGATGATCTGGTTTTCTATTGATTGTAGAATGATCGCCTTGTGTTGATATGTTGATTGCAGAAAAACCATTTGCTGGAATTGTGGCAGTACCTAATGGTAAACCATTGTATGAAGTTTGAGCAGCATTGATATATTGAGCTTGGAGATCTTTAGTTGATTTTGGTATTTCGATAACACGAGTAATTTCGAAATCGTTTGCATTAAATGCAAGTACAAATTCTGAACTTGGGGCAGTTTGAGCTGGAATATTGTCAATTGTCATCAATGAACCAGTGATATGATTTAAACATTGAGTGATAATATTTTGACATTCTGTTAAAACATGTTGATGATCTTTCCATGTATCTTCATAAACGAGACCAATACTGCTACCTGGTAAAATATCGTGAAATTGGTTAAATAATACAGTTTTCCAAAGTTTACTGAAATCTGGAGCTTTGAAACCTGGTACAATTAATTCACAATAGGAAGATAACATTTCACATGCGTGTAATTCAAATTCGCAACGTCTATTACCCTTCTTTGTAAGTGCTTGTGATGTATAGGTACCTCTATGTAATTCAAAGTATAACTCACCAACCCATTTTAGTAATTTGTTTTTATGTGGTTCAACTCTTTCAAAAAATCTTTCTGGTGTACTAAACTCTACCTTTGGAATACCATCGGTATTTGACATACGTTTTAATCTTTCAATCATCTAAAAATTAAATAAAAAAATAATGTTAATATATTTATTGGTTTTAGTAAATTGTATATTTCTTTAATTTCAACTTACTTCGATGGTTGGACCACCACCACCATCACCATGACCATAAACCAACATACTTTCATTGCAACGATCAATATCCTTGTTTTTAGTTGATGACATTACGACTTCTTTAACATCAGCTTGTGAATTGTAAGTGTCAGCTGGTGGGAAATGAGTTAAAACTTGTGAACCATCTAAACCCTCCCAAATAAATGTGGAGTGTGGGAATTTATTGATGTTGTTCCAAGAGAGTTTTTGGGTGATAAACTTGTTGATACCCATGTGGTTGCAAACCTGTGGTAATTGAGCACTATACCCAAAGGTATCTGGTAACCAAAATACGGAACAGTTTTTACCAAATTCTTCTCTAAAGAATTTCTGACCAACTAAAAATTGTCTAATGAAACTTTCACCTGATGGTAAATTGCCATCCATTTCTACCCATGTACCACCTGTTGGGATTAATTGACCAGCTCTGACCTTTTCCTTCATTCTTTCATAAAGATCTGGATAGTTTTCTTTAACAAATTCATAAAGAGTAGCTTGGGATTGAGTAAACTTATAATCTTTATAATAATCCATATAAAGAATTTGGGTTGCAAATGATCTTGCACACTTTGAGACAGTGATATCACGGTACCATAACCAACATGCATCAATATGACAACCACCAATTGCTGAAATAGTAGTTTGAGAGTCACCATTTTTATTTGAAAAGAATTCTTTGGCAATATCTATACATTTTTTGAATGATGATATATTATCAGTATTACATTTATTTATCATATCATTGGATGTCCATAATGCTTGATGCTTTCTAATAGATTCATTTGGAAAATGCTATTAAATTTTAAAAAAGTTAGTATTGCTTTAAATAATTTGAAAAAAAAAAAAAAAAAAAAAAAATAATGTTGGTTATATATTACTTACTTTAGCCATATCATATAACATTTGGAAATAGTAATACAATTCATATGCTTCTTTGTTTTGAACAACTAATTCGCATGCTGCTAAAGAGAAAGTTTTGTCTGGATCACATGCATTAATTAGGCCATCTTTACCAACACCAAACATACCATAGCAACCCATTTCAATATAAAACTCGTAGCTTTCACCACCTCTAGCACGGTCAGTTAATTTATAATCCAATCTACGGTCAACCCATGTACCACCTGTGAAACCTTGTGTTGGTACACCATCAATCCAAATCATTGCCTCTGATGATGAGTTCCATACGAAATGTACTGTTTGATCTTTCCATTCATTTGGAATTATTAAATTGATTTTAAACCAATAATAAGCCCAACTTGGTCCAAAACTATCACCAACTTTACAATCTTTATATGAAAGTTCAGTTGCCTCTATAAAAAAATGAAATGAAACATTAGTAAAACAACAACAATCTTGATTTATAAAATTAATTTTAATTTTACTTACCTTTAAATGTTAATCTACTTTTACCATTAAGATCTACTTTTGGTGAAACTTGAATTTTAATATTTTCTTTTGTTTTATGTAAATTTAATTTACCATAGAGATTTGAATTAACAAAATAAACTTCACTTATAAACTTTTCAACACGCTCCAATGTTATTTCAGGGTTCTTTAGCATTACTGACATTTTTATTTATTTTTTGATTGGTTTATAATATAAATATAAATATAAATATAATTACAATAACAAAAACAATTACAAATAAAATAATAAAAACAAAATAAAGAAAATAAAAAATAAAATTAAAAAAAAAAAAGGAAATTTAATTTGTAAAAAAAAATAAAATTAAAAAAAAAAAATTAAAAAAAAAAAATTTAATATACCACACCTCAAAATAAATCATATATTTTGTGCAAGTATCTTTTTTTTTTAATATATCCAAAAAATTGGAAACTAAAAATAGAAATTCTCAATTAAATAAAATATAAAGTAAATTAAATGGTATTATTTTTTAAATTTTATTTATTTAAATAATTTTTTCTTTTTATCTCTTCATATGATTAATATATCTAAGAGCTAAATAACCAATAAATGTATAACCAATGAAATAACCGAATAAAATAATACAATTATAAAATTGTCTATCGAAACTGAAACCGTATTGATTAAGAATAGTTTCACCATTTGGAATTGGACAGAATGGTTTCATTGTATTGTTACCAGTTGGATCGATGTTGATTAAAGCGTATTCACCTTCTTTACAAACAAAATCTTGACCGTTTAATTCGGTTACAGCCAGAGATTCCAGACCATATTTCGAGAAAACTAGATAATGCATCCAAATCCATCCCCTTTTAATTGATGTTTTTGGAATAAAGAAACCACCAAACAAACCTAAAAAGTTAAGACCTACACCACAAACCAATGTGGCAATTGGAATTGTTGGAAGGGTTAAAGCGAAAACCATTGCCAAACTGTCATAGCACATAATAACTAAAAGATATACCAAAAGAGAGTAAAAGAATTTCCAACCATCATGACCTTCATCCAGACCAGTTAAGAAGAATGTAGGGATCCAATATGAGAAAGCGGTGAGCATCATCATTGGTAAATCGGTAATTACCACTGATAAAAGATATAAATGAGCTGGATAGGTACCTGCGGATGATTCTCTGTAATAAACTGAACGATCTTCGATTACAGTTGGAACTTTACCAATTGAAGCCATACCACCAAATAAGAAACCTAAGAAAATCATTGCAATTTTATTTCTAGCATCGTTTTGACTGTAACCAAGACGAACAAACAATGTACCTACAACAATAGCTGGGACAAAGGAACGAAGGAATCTAAGGAGAATGGTTTGTGGACGACGAACATGATTAAGCCAAGCTCTTTTAATAAGACTCTTTAATTGAGCTCCGATTGGAGCTGAGTATTTGCCTTTATATTTTGGTACCTCTACACCTTCTGGAACAATATCTTTATCACTTAATCTTTTAACTGAATCTGAATAGAAGTTGGATGATTTAAAATATTCGCTAGCAGATTGACCATTGCTTGGTGGGTGTTCTGCAATTTCTAAAATGTAATCAGCTGGATTTCTACCTTCTTGATATTGATAACCTGCATTACTAAAATGATTGATAACTGAAGTACTATTTTCACCAGTTGGACCGAAATAAATAACTTTACCCTTATCTAAAAGTAAAAGTTGGTCGAACTTTTCAAAAATTTCTTGTGATGGTTGATGGATGGTACAGATAACAGTTCTACCAGAGTCTGCAATCTTTTTAACGCAATTCATAACTTTGAGGGCTGCAGCACTGTCTAAACCTGAGGTTGGTTCATCAAGGAAGAGTAAATGAGGATCAGATGCTAATTCGATACCAATTGAAACTTTTTTACGATTTGCTAATGAGATACCAAGAGTTGGATTTGGACCAATAGTGGTGTTTTGTAATTTGGTTAAACTAAGAACTTGAAGAATTTCATCGATAAGCTTAACTCTATCTTTTTCGGCGTATGATGGTGGTAAACGACAATTTGCACTAAATTCAATAGCTTCACGAATAGTTAAATTACCAGATAGAATATCTTGTTGTTCGACGTAACCAGTGAAACGAGTAATATTAATATCATTGACATCGGTACCATTGATTCTAATATCACCTGTGACAATACCAACATTCTTTCTTTTGGCGAGGACATCCATAAGAGTTGATTTACCAGCACCTGATGGACCCATTAAAGCGCACATACCTGGTACAACATAACCATTAACATCTTTTAAGAGTTCGAGAGTAACATTTTCTTTTTTGTTGGTAGTTGGATTGATCTTTTTAGCATCTACTGTATAATTTAAATCTTGGAAAGTCATATAACAACCATTCCATTTATGCTTGACCTCTTTAGCTTTCTTTTCTTTTCCTTCTTTCTTTTTCTTTAAATTGATAACTTTTGGTGGAGCTTTATTTTCGAAACGTACATATTTAATACCTAAAAAGAAGATAAAAAAGAATGTACAAGCAAAACCTAAAATAATTACAATATCGACGAAACGCATATAGTAGTTTTCAGAGAAACCAAATTGATGAAGAATGGCATCACCGTCAAGTGGTTGGCATGTTTGTTGACCATTGTATTCGGCAATGGCGATATCAAGTGGTGGAACAAGCTCGTTTGGTGCACAACTAAATACAAGACCGTGTAACTCGTTGGATGCAAGCATGTCAATAACATAACGAAGAGGCGATAGTGCATTTAACCAAATCCACCAACCTCCAATTTCTGGGATTGGTTTCATGTAACCACACATAATCATAAACAAGACTACAATAGCTGGGCAGATTAAACTTGCTAATAATTGAGTGGATGCAAATACGGATGTAACTTGGAAAATACCTTGAGCAATAACATTGGTAAGAGCCAAACCTAGAACGAAAATAAAGAAACTATCTGCTCTCGCTCTGAAACCTGCAATCCAATAACAGCATATACTAAACAATAAAGACTCGATTAAAGATATTGGGATTTTGGTAATAACTAAAGTAATGAAATATGGGAAATTTCTATAATATTTGCCATCCTTTTGATCGTCAAAGATACCTCTTAAAGTGTAAAATTCTTCTACTGAGCCAATAGTAGTCCAAATATGTAATACCATGGAGAAATAAATTAAACCTAAACGATTTCTAGCATCGGCATGAGATAAACTCATGTCAACAAATAATGAACCTACTACACAACCCATGAAAACTGCTTGGAAGAAACGAGTAGCATATTGCATTCTCATAATTTTCATAACTTTAAGATGACGGCCAAGTAATTGTTTCATTTCATAAGCAAGTGATGACTTTTCGACTTTGCCCTTTTCTACAGCTTGAATTGAAAAATCGAATGGTTTAATGTCTTGTGGAATAAGTGTTGGAATTGATTGGACAACATTTTGATGTATTTGTGATTCTAAATAAAACTTTACTAAATCATATTCGCCATCATCGGTATGTGAGGCTTGACTCTTGCTAAGACTTTGGATTCTATCGGCACCTATGGCATATTTTGATGGGTCAATTGTAATCTCTTGAATAAATTCTGCCAATGGTTGTTCTGGTAATGGTGCTAAACCAACGGATTCAAAGTAACCAAGTAAAGAATCTAATGGACCGAAATAAACTAATGTACCACCTTCACCTAAAATTAAAACATCATCAAACAAATTGGTCAACTCTGGTGATGGTTGTAAAAGTGATACCATAACTGATGCTCTGGCTTCATTTGCAATGGACTTTACTTTATTTAAAACATTATATGATGTAGCACTATCCAAACCTAAAATAAAATTTAAAAAAAAAATTAAAAATTAATATTTATTTTTTATATTTTTTTTCTAAAAAAATAAAAAAATACATACCTGTAGTTGGCTCATCCATTAAAATCATATTTGGGCATTTAGTAAACTCATTTGCAATTGTAACTCTTCTCTTTTGACCACCTGAAATACCACGGAAAAATTGATTACCAATAATTGTATTTGAAGTGTGTGAAAGGCCCAATTGCTCTAAAATTAATCTGACTCTTTCTTTTTTTGATTCTTCGTCAACCATTTCACCCATATTACAATTTGCGCTAAACTCTAAAGTTTCTTTGACGGTCAATAAGGCTATATGTCTATCGTCTTGTGAAACATAAATTGTATCTCTTTGATGTGTTGATGGTGCACATGGATGTCTATTGAATAATAACTCACCTTCAATTGAACCTTTGCCTAATCTATTTCCTAATGTTTTTAATAACACACTTTTACCTGAACCTGGAATACCCATTAAAAGAACCATACGCCCAGGCTAAAAATAGAAAATAAATAAATAAAAAAATATTAATATCTTGATTTTAATTAAACATTGGATATTATTTAAAATAGTGATTATTATTAAGATGATAAAAAATATAAAAAAAATCTGTGATATTTCGGCAAAATAAAATAATCAATCAACAATTGTTGATTAAAAAAAAAAAAAAAATTTTAATTTTTATTTTTTTTTATTTTTTTTTTTTTATTTTTTCTCGGCAAAATATTTATGCTGAATAAAGAAATATGAGTGGAGTGTTGACATATGATTTATAACAATAATTTTTTTTAATATTAAAATAGATATTTTTAATTATTTTGGTACTTACTTCCATTGTAAAAGTTAAATTTTTTAATAGATATAATTTTTTATTTTCCTCTGGTTCCCCTTTTTTGATTGGTTTTGGTACATAATAGTTTAAATTGTGGGCTTGTACATATAAACCTGTTTTTTCTGGTGGTAAATTTTCTTTAATATGTGATGCTAGATCATAGTTGATTTCAATTCCAATTGATTCATGCTTTTCACTATTATCTTGAGTAATATTACTGTTTTCTTGTGTTTTGTTTGGAGACAAAGGAATTGATTTTAATTCGACTTCGTCATTATTTTCTGTATTATCCATTTTTTTTTATTTTTTTGATTACTAAAAACAAAAAAAAAAAAAAAAATTAAGAATAATAAAATGTATAAGTTTTTTAATTAATCTAATCAAAAAAAATAAATAATGATTTTTTTCTGTTTTTTGTAAAAAATATTTTAGTAATTATAATTAAAATTTTTTTTAAAAAAAACACAAGCAAAAATATTTATAAAATAAAAAATAAAAAATGAAAAATGAAAAATTAAAAAAATAAAAAAAAAACAAAAAATAAAAAAAATAAAAATAAAAAAAATAGCAAATATTGATTATAACCTGTAAATATATATATGGATATATGTATATATTTATTATAAATGTGTATGTGTGGGACTGAGTGTGTGAGTATTACAATAAAAACTATAAAAGTGTATAAAATTTTTTTTATAATTAAAAAAAGTTAAAAATAAAAATAAAAATTGTTTGGTGTCTAAAAATAAAAAATGATATTTCTTATTTTTGATAAATTTTTTTTTTGTTTTGTTTGATAACACTACAATGAAAAAAACGAGAAAAAAAAAAAAAAAAGAAAATATATATAAAAAAGAGTAATAATAAAAATTATTTGTTAATAAAAAAAAATAACCATTGTCTTTTTTTTTTTTTTTATCTTTTAAAATTAATTTTATTTTTTAAAAAAAATTTTTTTAATTTTTTTTTTTTTAAAAAATAATTATTGCCAAATGGAATCATGGAAGATTCAGAATTCGGGTGCAGAAGACAATTTTTTTTTTTTTTTTAGTCAACACACAAAATTTTAAAAAAAAAAAACAAAAAAAAGTTAAGATCGTTGGGAAACAAAAAGAAAAAAAGATAAAATTATATTTTGGGTATTTATATAAAAACGCGAAAATGGCGAAAAAAAAAAATCACACACCAAAGGATAATATTTTTTTTTCATTTTGATGTGTCAACTTCTAAAATTCACACGTGTGTATAAAAAAAACTTTAGGAACGTAATCACACACACTTTTATATATACATAAAAAAAAATAATAACAAAAAGTATTTTTTGAACATTTTATTATTTTTTTTGGGAAAAATTATATATCAGTTTTATTTTTTTTTTTTAAAATTGAACCTTCTTCCTTCTTCCTTCTTTCTTTTATTCTTAATACCAAAAAAAAAAAAAAAATAAAAAAAAAAAATAAAATAAAATAAAATAAAATAAAATAAAAAAATAAAAAAATAAAATTATTTATATTTATATATCTTTATTTATATTTATATTTTTAAAAAATATTTATATCTTTTTTAAAAGTTATTCCAGTAATATTTTTATCTAGTAAAGTTAATATACTATTTAAATGATAATTTGGTAAATTTGAAAAGGTTTCTATTTTCCAAAAAGAAATTCCCCCAATACCAGTATTGGAAATTTTATAAAATAAAGATTTTGTATTTTCATATTGGATCTGGTAAAGTTTATCTTTTTCATTATTATTTATATAATTTAAAAATGGGGTGTGAGTTTTAAAATTCCATAATTCGCCAGATAAAAAATATCCAATACCATTGCCAATAATATAGTTGTAAATATCGAAATAACTGATTTCAGTTTGTTTTGAGTTGGCAACCTTTTCGCAATAATTTAGATTAAAAACATTATTTCTACCACCTCCTGGGCTGCAGCATTTTTGGGTTCCGATCAGAGATAAACCAATTATTATTTTGTCTTTTATAAAGATATACTTTTCTAACCAATTTTTATACAAGAGATTTCTAAAATAGTCACCAGGTATCGAATTTCCGTCAATATAATCTTTGACCCCGGTGTAGTTGTTAGAGTTGAACGATTGCAAAATCAAGTAGTCACAGTTTACCAGCATTTCGCTGCAATTAGTATCCATATTCCATGTTAAAGGCAAGGCAATTGAAAAATAATAGTTTTTATTTTTTGTTTTTAACAATTTATATAGTTTTTTAATTTCATTCATATAGGTTATATTTACATTTGAGGCAATATTAACCACCATTCCATCACTACCATTCGCTTCTATTAGGGTTACTAGTTTCGTAAAATTTGACCTGCTGTAGTCAAGGAGCTCTTGCTGGCCAATTAGTAATACTGTTCGAACATTATTCTGATGACTGGTGCAAACAACCTCTTTTAAATATTTATTATTTGGGTTTATTATTAAAGTGTCAATCTTTGACCAATAAATAAAGTTATTTTTATAAAAGTTTAAATCGTTTGATTGGGCATAAAATATATTTTCTTTGTTTTTATAATTTATATTTTTATTTAATATATTATTACAAGAGTTATTTACATTTGTAGTTGTTGAGTTTGCATTTTTTTTTACTTCGTTATTATAATTATTATTAGTTTTATTTAAAATATCTAATGGAATATTATAATCATATATATATGAGTTTTTGCTATTTTCTAAACAATATATAAATTTTATATTTATTAAAATTAAAATACTTGAAATTATTATAATTAATAATTTCATATCTAGAGTTAAAAAAATAATAAAAATAATACTACTAATATTAATAATAATAAAAATGTTGTTGTTTTTATTGTTATCTTTCAAAAATATTTTTTATTAGTTATATCTATTATTCTAAAATAAAAAAAAAATATTTGTAAAAAAAAAATAAAAAAAATAAAAAAAAATAATTAATTAATATTTTTATTGATAAATTTAAATTTATAATAATTAATTAACTTTCAAATTAAAAATAAATTGTAAAAAATAAAATAAAATCAGTTATAATATAGTTATGATTGGTATCAAAATTATTTGCAAAAATTATTTATTTTCTATACTTTTTTTTTTTTTTTTTTTTTTTTGTTTTTTTTTTGACATGTAAACAAAACAATAACAATAACAATTAAACAAAAACAACAACAACTAAAAATAATAATAATTTTTACGAATAAAAAATAATCAGATATCGAGTATAACAATTTTTAAATTATTCAAAAGATCTTTTAAATAATATTTGAAAGGAAAAAAAAAAAAAAAAAAAAAAAAAACTTTTTTTTTTAAAAAAAAAAGATTTTATTAATTTAGAAAAATTGAATAATGGGTAGAAATAATTCCCACGTACTTTAAAGAGTTTAGAGCGACAAAAATAGTATCAATTATAAAAATATAATTTTAAAAGTATGTATGTTTTATATCTTGGATCTTTGTTTTAAAAAAAAAAAAAAAAAAAGTATTTGTATCTGTGTGTGAATGTGGGATAAAAAAAGAGAAATTTGTGTGTGAGTGTGCAGAGTGACAGAGTAACAGAGTGACCGAGTGAATGTGTATATAAGTGTGTGTGTGTGTGAATGTGTGCGAGTGGAATGTATGTGAGATTTTTGTTATTGGTATTCTATTCTATTCTATTTTTGCTTTATTTTTAATTTCATTTTATTTATTATTTATTATTTATTCCTTTTTTAAACAAATAAAAACAAATTAATTGGTTTTTGTTTTGTTTTTTATAAAAAATAAAATAAAAATTATTTTCTATTTAGGGTTGTTTGAATAAATAAAATAAAAATAAAAATTATAAAAAAATAATAATAATAAATAGTAAAATATAAATCATTTTAGTAAACACCGAATCATTTTAAATATACAATAAAATATTTACAAACAAAAAAATGACAAAAAATAAAATCATTTTAATTTTTTTTTTTTTAAAAATTTATGTAATTTTAGCGCAAATTTATAAATCATGTGCAGATTGCGATTGTGATGATATTATTAAATGTAATGATGGTACATTATGCAATGGCCCAATCGATGGTAAAACAGATCAGATCAAAAAATCATTCATTTACATATCTGGGAATCAGCAATCAAACTACACTTATTTTAAAGACGATTATTCGTTGAAATGGGATGCAATAGATATCATAGCGTTGTATGGAAGAAATTATGACAAGAGGATATCATGCTTGGCGCATCAAAAAAAGGTCAAGGTGCTTTTCAACTACGAGGAAACAAGTTTCTGCAATGTATTTAGAGACCCCAATTGCACATGGGATTTGAATGTCATTGAAAAGCAATTACCAAGGATACTAACAACATTGCAAGATAATAATATCGATGGTATCAATTTAGATTTTGAAGTGGGTAATAGATATGGCGAAGAAAAACAGTATGCATTTTTATTAAAAACGATAAACGACTATTTAAAATCAAAAAATAAAAATTATATTGTATCCTCAGCCATTGCACTAAGATATAGAGATAATTTTAAAAATCAAATTGTGGATGTATTAGAGAATTCAGACTATTTAACCATAATGGCATACGATTTAAATTCACTTCAAAAAGGATCCAATTTTACCCAGTCACCGAGCTCTCCAATAACAGTAAGAAATGATTTAAAAAACTTTTATATTGACAGATTACCAAATCAATACCTTAACAAAGTTATTTTAATATTACCTTATTATGGGTATATTACAAAATGTAAAAGAAATGACAACTCTAGTTACTATAGTAATGACGACAATGGATTACTTAGCAATGAATGTATCATCGATGATTTCAAACCAAGACAAATCACTTACAAAGAAATAGACAGTTTAGTGCACAATAAAAAGAATAATATTGGTATCAATATAAATATTATAATAAACAATAACAATATCAATATAAACGAAAATGAAAACAATATAGTCCTATCTTCCGGGACACTATATGATTCTAAAAATTTAACACCATATTCAAATTTAATCGACTCAAATGGTGACAGATGGCAAATTACCTTTGACTCACCCTTTTCGATTTATTCAAAGACAATTTCAATTGGAGTTGGTGGTGTGGGCTGTTGGTCATTAGATAAAATTCAAGGTTTACCCCAATCAATAGTAGACTCTTTCTACTATTCAATCAAAAAAGAAAATATTGGTAATAACTTTATATTAAACCCATACTATTAAATAAATTAATATCTTAATATTAAATTTATTATCACTACTATATTTGTTTAATTTAAATTTTAAATTTATTTATTGGTTTTTTTTAATTATATTTATTTATTTTTTTTCTTTTTTGGCAGCAGCTGGTTTAGTGGCAACTGGAGCAGCTGATTTTCTGAATGGATAAAGAGCTTCACCATTTGGTTTGATTGGACCAGATGGAATGAAAATTAAAACGTATGGTTTAACACCATCACCAACTTGATCGACATTGAAGAAACCTCTTCTTTCAAATTGAATTTTATCATTTTGTTTAAGTGAGAGAACATTTTCATCAGCAATGACTTCTAATTCGAATTTAGTGTTTTTGTTGGTGAAATCGTCTAAGTTATCATCATCTTCAAGTTTTGGCTTAGTGATGAGATAATCGTAATCTTGAAGAACAACAGTAACTTTATCAGCAGTATCATTTGATAACCAAGAGAGTTTCTTTTCTGTTTTTTTGAAATCACCTTCTAAATGAAGTTCACCTTGCATTGAAACAACTTGACCCTTATCGTTACGTTCGACGGTACGAACAATAGCATTACCCCAATTCATAAGAGTAACTTCTTCACCATCTTTAATATTGACACAATCGTCTTGTTCTAAAAGAAGAGTATTTGAGAAAGTAACTTTTTTGGTACCCATGTTTGGATCTTTGGCATATTTAAGAATATCTTTAACTTCTGGGTGAGCTGGACCATTTGAAAGGGTGAATTTAACAGCACCTTCTTTGGCAACAGCGGTATAACGTGGGCAGGTGGATTCGAGGAAATTCTTGTTACCAACAAATAATTTACCTAAATCTAAAGTAGTGTTTGAAGCTGAAGCACCTTGTGAAAGAATGAATTCTTTAAGGGCTGGAACAGTTAAACCACGACGGAAGATACCTTGGAAAGTTGGTAAACGTGGATCATTCCAACCAGTGACGACACCAGTGTCAACAAAATGTTGGAGTTTTCTCTTTGAAAGTAAAACGTTGAAAAAGCTTAAACGACTGTAATCAGAGACGTATGGTTTGTTTTGTAAACGAAGGATTTCGATGACATGGTTGTAAAGATTTCTCTTGTTGTTGTATTCGTTTGATCTAAGAGCATGAGTAACACCTTCAATAGAATCGACGATTGGACAAGCGAAATCATATAATGGATAAACTTTATATTTGTCACCAGTACGATGATGTGGTAAGAGGTTACATCTGTAGAATGCTGGATCTCTGAAAGCTCTATCAACATGGTTCATATCGAATTTAGCACGCATAACACATTTGACACCAATTGCTGAACCCTTTTTCATTTCTTCAAAGAGTTCTAAATTCTTTTCTACAGAGTTTGAACGGTGGACACTATCGATACCTTGTTCACGTTCTTCTCTCATCTTTTCCATTGGAGTATCATCAACGTAAGCGAGACCTTCCTTGAGCATTTGAACGGCATAGTCCAAAATGATATCGAAATAGTCAGAGGTGTGAGTGATTTTTTCGTATTTAATACCTAAGCTATTGATATCCTTGATGATGTTTTCGACGTATTCTTCCTTTTCTTTAGCTGGATTGGTATCATCGAATCTAATAATAATTTTACCATTGTATTTTTCGGCATAGTAATTGTTGATAATAGCAGCTTTGCAATGACCAATATGCATATAACCTGATGGTTCTGGTGGGAAACGGGTAACAACCTTACCATCAACTAAACCTGGTAAATTTAATGCTTCAAAATTACCAACCCAACCCATAGCACCTTTTTGTGGAGCTGCTTTTTCTTTCTTATCACCACCTGCAGCAGCTGTTGGCTTCTTACCGCTGTATAATTGTTCAGCTTCGACAAAAGCTTGTAAACTGTTTAAGTGTGATAACCATCTATTTAAATGTGGTAAAGTTTTACCTTTGGCTGTAATTTCATCTTGAATTTCTTTAACCATTTTGATACGACTATATAAAACGATATCTGCTAAGGTGACATTATATCCAATTAAAAATGATCTTAAAGTTAAAAATTCGTTCATTTCCTTTAAAAATTCTGTGATCTTTTCACTTTTTAAATGGACAAATTTGTCAATGAATTCATCGATCTGAAAAAAAAAAAAAATTTTAATTAATATTAATTGATTACTATAGCCATTATATATTTATTAATGAATTTACCTTTGATGAAGACAAAGCATCATCTCCATATAATGAAAGGTTTGGATTACTTCTTGCTAAATATTTGGCAGTGACGTATGAACCTTTGAGTGAATGTTGGGTACCGACAATTGAAAATTCGGTTGAATCGAGACCTTTTCTTGGGACGATTTTAATACCACCAACAAGTTTTGAAGTGATAACTGCAACTAATGGGAAATTTGGAGTTGCTGGGGTATCATCAAATCTTAAAATACCTGTATCTTTAACTTTATTTGCCATTTTTATTTAAACCAATAAAAATAAAAAATAATAAAAAAAATTATTTTTGAAAAATTTTTAAAAAATTTGAAAAAAAAAATTTAAAAAAAAATTAAAAAAAAATAATTTCATTTTATATTTTATTTATTTATTTATTATTCTGATATTTTTAAAATAATTTTAGTATAAATAGCTGTTCCTATGCTATTATTTAATAATTTGCTAATTCTTATAATTTTAATTTAATTTTAATTTAATTTTAATTTAAATATGATATTACCGTTTTTTTTTTTTTTTTTTTTTCGTTTTTATTATTAACATCATTTTTGAAATTACTTTTTTTTATTTCTCACAGATATTCTTTTAATTTAAAAAAATTATTTAATTATTTAATTATCAATAAATCAAAAAGCCCCTAGTATTAATATTAACGAAAAACCTCTCCTATATTATTTTAATTCGGTTTTTTTTCCGACCCAAAAAAAAAAAAAAAATTCATAATAAAGTTATAAATAAAAAAAGAATATTAATTAATTTAATTATGGTTATAATTTATTAAATAAATGATTGACTGTATTTTTTTTTTTTTTTTTTTTAATGGAAGATAAAAATGGAACGGCGAATCTTCCTTAAGGAAGAATGGAATTGAACTGGTTCCAAAAAAGATATTTTTTTTTTTTTTTGTTTTTTTCGATCAATTTGTTATCAATGTAAAATTCCAAAAAAAAATATTTTTTTTTAAAAAAAAAAACTATAAATAAAAAAATGGAAATTTATTAAAAACAAAAACCAAATAGAATAAACAAATAAAATAAAAAAAAATGAAGGTTTTAAAAGCTTTAGTTGTATTCTTTTCTTTTTTACTTGCCATGGTTCATGGCCAATATGTTTTATTGGAAAGTTATGAAAAAGGATCTTCATGTTCTGGTGAATCTTTAATTCAAGGCACAATTTTGACCAAAACATGTTTCTACGATGATTATATTTCCAGAATTTTCTTAGTTTCTGGTAATAAAGTTATTGAAAGAAAATACGTTGATATGCAATGCAACCAATTTCTTGAAGAGGTAGTTTATGAACCAAACTATTGTAATTCTACAAGTGGTGATACTTTAAAATACTCGATTTTAGACAAAATAGAAATCCCATCAGATGTTTATGTTACCGTTGACTATAGTGGTGCATGTAATGGTCATTATAAAGATACTTTTATAAACTTTGATTATTATAATTTAGATTATTGTAGCTCATATAACGGTGTATCAAGTAAAATGTCTTGTAATTCAACTTCAATTTTTACTTATACATATAAAAACTTAGAATGTTCAGGTTCCCCATCTCGTACCGACGTCACCCATTTTTTAGATTATTGCACTTCTTATGAGGGCACCTACAATCATGTAGAATTTTGCAACAAATAGAAAATAAATAATAAAAAAAAAAAAAATAATAAAAATAAATAAATAAATAAATAAATAAATTTAATTATTTAAATAAAAAAATAAAAGGTTTATTTTTATTAATAATAATGGCTATATAAATAATTTAATATTAAATATTTTGATATGTAAATATAATTTATAAATTATATATTAACCTTTTTTTAAATTTTAAAAAATTATAACATAAAAAATAATAGGGGGTGATTTTTTATATTTTTATTAGATTATCAAAATATTTCGATTGGATCAAAAAATTTAAAAAAAAATGTAAAAAAACAAATTTAGAAATAAATATAATCTTTTTATTTTTTTATTTTATTTTTTTATTTTTTTTTATATTTTTTATTTTTTTTTGATTAGTTTTACATTATAAAATATATATGTTTTTTATATTGGAGAAAAAAAAAAAAATTAAGATAATATTTTTTTTGAAAGTTCATCCCCAGAGAATTTAAAATTTCTTTTTTTTTAATTTTTTTTTTTTTAATATTTTTTTTTTAAATTTTTTTTTAAAAATCAAAATTTTCGTTTATAAAATTTTTTTTTTTTTTTTTTAATATTATAGTTATTATTTTTTTTAATAAAATAATATAATTATATAATGCAAACTCTTGCACGTCTTTCCCGTACCAACATTGTTGGTAGAAGTATGAGACAATACTCATCAGTTTCACAGTAAGTAATAAACAATAAACACTAATCAAAATAAAAAAAAACAAAAAAATAAAAAATAAAAAAATAAAAAATTAAAAATTAAACAAATCAAATAAAAAAAAAATTAATCAATTCCACCAAATTTAATCGATTGGTACCAACATTACTAAAAGAGGAAAAATATATACAAATAAATGATAGAACAGTGATAATAAAAACAATCTCTATATAAATAATAAATTAATAAAACAATCAATCAATCAATCAAATCAAACCACACATATTTTTTTTCTTAAAAAATAAAATAATAATAATAATTTTTTTTTTTTTTAATTAATAGACAAGAAATTGATAATGAACCAAGATTTTTAGAATGTTTCAAAACTTTCTTTGATAAAGCTGCTGGTTTAACCAACTTAAAACCAGGTGTTTTAAATAACATGAAAGAATGTAACGTTGCTCTTCGTGTTGAATTCCCAATTAAAAATGAACATGGTGATGTTGATATTATTGCTGGTTATCGTGCTCAACACAGTCACCACAGACTCCCATGCAAAGGTGGTATTCGTTTCTCAGAAGAAGTCGATCTCCAAGAAGTTATGGCTCTTGCTTCATTAATGACCTACAAATGTGCCGTCGTCGATGTTCCATTCGGTGGTGCTAAAGGTGGTGTCCGTATCGATCCAAAGAAATACACTATTGCTCAAAGAGAAAAAATCACTCGTGCCTACACTCTTCTTTTATGCCAAAAGAACTTTATTGGTCCAGGTGTTGATGTTCCAGCTCCAGATATGGGTACTGGTGAACAAGAAATGTCATGGATTCGTGATACCTACCAAGCTTTCAATACTAACGATGTTGATTCAATGGCTTGTGTCACTGGTAAACCAATCTCATCAGGTGGTATTCGTGGTCGTACTGAAGCTACCGGTTTAGGTGTTTTCTACGGTATTCGTGAATTCCTTTCATACGAAGAAGTTCTCAAAAAGACTGGTTTAACTCCAGGTATTAAAGGTAAAAAGATTATTATTCAAGGTTTTGGTAATGTTGGTTATTGGGCTGGTAAATTCTTCGAACAAGCTGGTGCTAAAATTATTGCCGTTGCTGAACACAATGGTGCTGTCTTCAACCCAGAAGGTCTCAACATTGATGCCTTAAACAAATACAAACTCCAACACGGTAGTTTCATTGATTTCCCAGGTGCCACCAACATCCACGACTCTGTTAAAGCCCTCGAAATTCCATGTGATATTTTAATTCCAGCCGCTCTTGAAAAACAAATCCACGTCGGTAACTGTGCTGATATCCAAGCTAAAATTATTGGTGAAGCTGCTAACGGTCCAATGACCCCACGTGCTGATGACTTCTTAAATGCTAGAGGTCACATCATCATTCCAGATCTCCTCCTCAATGCTGGTGGTGTCACTGTCTCATACTTTGAATGGTTAAAGAATCTTTCACACGTTCGTTTCGGTAGATTAAACAAGAAATGGGAAGAATCATCAAAGAAACTCTTATTAGAATTTGTTGAAAACACTGTTGGTAAGAAACTCTCTGATGCCGAAAGAGGTTTAGTCATCCATGGTGCTGATGAAATCGATATTGTTAGATCAGGTTTAGATGATACCATGACTAATGCTTGCGCTGAAACTAGAAAGACTGCCATCGAAAAGAACACTGATTACCGTTCAGCTGCTTTATACAACGCCATCATGAAAATTAAAGCTGTTTACGAATCATCAGGTAACGTCTTCTCTTAAATTTTTTAATAATATAATTAATCCCCTTATTGCAACAATAATAATAATAAAAAAAAAAAGATTATACTCTTTATGTAATTATTTTATTTTTTAAAAAAAAAAACATAGTTTTTAAAAAAATATTTTATTGTTATTTATTTTTATAATTGTGTGTATTTTATTTATAAATATGTGCACTTGTTTATAAATTAATCTGATGATAATAATACGCCAATGGCATTTAAACCACCAAAAAAGAATGATAATTGGGCAGTTTTGGCATCGCTTAGTTGACCATTTTTAAATTCCTTAATTAAACTAATAACTTTGGGTAAAACTATAATTGGCATCAACATTGTGTACTTGTTTTCTAAATATGAAAATACAAACAAACTTCCATATGAACTAAATTAAAAAGGTGGGTTAGTTTTATTAACATTCTTTGAAAATAATATGATTCTAAAATTAAAAACTTACATTAAATATAAAGATACAAAAATATAAAAGCAACCTTTAAGACCAACGATAGAGGCAATGGTTTTTGAATTTGTGCTCTTATCAGCTTCGATATCTCTTGTATTATTAACATGTAAAACAGCAACAATGGTCATGGCTAATGGAATTGAGTAGTAAAAGATATTGAAATCAAAGAAACGGGTTTGAAGTAAATAACTAGATTGAACTAAAAGTGGACCAAAGCAAAGGAATATAGTAAGATCTCCTAAACCAATATACTTTAAACCAACTGGATCTGCGGTATAAAAGATGCAAAGTAATAAACCAAAGACTACCATCGGTAATAAACTTTCTAAAATTAAATTATAATCACCATTTAAACGATATATAACTAATCCTAAACAAACAACACATTGGAATAAAAGATAGCCGATTAAATTGATGATTTCTGATTCGCAAAGGCCCAAGTCAAACATTGTTCTATCTGCTGATTTTTCAAAAGTGTCATTACCACGTTTGGAATCATAAAAACTATTGACTACATTACCAAATGATTGTACTGAAATCCCACCGATTAAAGTTACAACAAACATAAATGTATCAAATTTACCTGTTTCTTTGAATGCTAATGCACTTCCTAATAAAATTGATGTTGCTGAAATTGTTAAAGACCATGGTCTTAATGCAATTAATATTCCAAGTGGTTTTGAAATTTTTTTATTTTTTTCATTTGTTGTTGTATTGGATTCTTGTTTTATACTGGTTTCTTTAATACTTTTGTTTTCTTTATTATTTCTTTGAGTTATATTAGCACTCATTTTTATTATTTATTAATTAATATATTAAAAAAATCAAATCAAAAAATTTTTTAAAATTAAAAAAAAAAATTTAAAAAAAAAAATCTTTTTTTTTTTTTTTTACATTAATTAATCTTTTAAAAAATTTGGAAGTTTTTTTTTTATACGTATGAATGCTTTTTAGTACATCAAGTAATTTTCAGAAAAAACCATTGTTATCAAAATAAAAACCATGATATCGTTGTGGTATATTAGCAATTGCAGTTGGTGAAGAGTAAGTCGATCTATATTAACCTTTGATGAGGTTACTTTGTAGACTGTTTGTTCTACCTTTTCTAATGTTTTTGCTACTGTTGATTTATGTGCTCCAATTTTTTGCAATTTTTGAGTTCGACTTGTGACCTCTGTTTTTATAATATAATATTGAATTTCGAACTTCATCACTTAACCTCATTTTGTTTATTTACTATATATTATTAAACTTTTATGAACACTTAATTATTAAATTAATGATAAAAAAAATATAAAATTTTATATTTTTAAAAAAAAGTGTTTAAATATAAAATATAAAAATAAAAACACCTCAAACACTTTTTTTTATGTGTAGTTTTTTATTTTTTTGCATATAAAAAAAAAAAAGTGGTTTGAGGAGAATGTGGTAAAAAATAGAGTAATTTTTTTTTATTTTATTATTAGAATTTTTTATTTTTATTTTATCCAATCCTTAAAATTTATTTTAAAATTAATCATTATTGGTATTAAGGTTCTTCATATCAATTATTATTGGTAAATCTTATTTTATATATGATTTAATAAAAGTTGGAGGGGTCTACATATAATCTGGGCATTGTAAATTGAAATTTTTTTTTTTTATCTCTTTTTTTATTTTTTAAACTAAATTAAACTAAATTAAACTAAATTAAACTTAAAATAAAAATTTAAAATTTAAAATTTATAATTAAAAATTAAAAATTAAAAATTAAAATTAAAACTTAAAATTTAAAGTTAAAAATTAAAATCAAAGTTTAAAATTAAATTATTCCACACTTTAACAAATAAATAAATAATATTGTAATAATAATAGTTTAGAATAATATAAAATGTATGTATCCCCACATAAATATTTATATAATAAAAATGATGAAAATGATAATAGATTTAATCAGGAAGAAACATATTCAAATATATTACATGAATTAATACAACTTGAGAAACCAGAAAATATATTGAGAGTATTTCTATGGAATTCAAAGGGTTTAACTAAAAAGGGTTATGCCAAATTAAGAAAGATTACAAATCAAATAATTACTAGGGATATTCAATTTGATTTATATGTTACTCAAGAGCCTTTGAGTATAAATGAAAAGAATTATTTAAAATCGTTTAATGATTCTGAAAAGAAATATCTAATAACATATCCGCCAGGAAGTAAAAAAGAAGTAGCAATTATTTATAATAAACAAAAGCTATCAATAGATAAAGATGGGATAAAAAACTCTTATAATCTAATAGAGGAAAGTAAAAGAAAGGACAACAATCAAGGAGTTGAATACACCACAGATTTCCTAGATAAAGGCAAATACAGAACTCAAATTGTTCATTTTAAAATAAAATGGGGCGATGTCAAAGCAAATAGTGGTTTAAAATTATGTGTAATCAATATTCACTCAGTTTACCTGGGATATTCGGAAGAAGATAGAAGGGATTTTTTATTAGAATTTTTCAAATTTGTAAATTGGTATATAAACAATAAAATAGCAAACGAACCCATCAAGCTGTTGATACTTGGTGATTTTAATCTCGATTTAATTGAATGGAAAATAGAAGAGAAAGTATTTAATACAATTGGTTTAAAATTAGTAATCTCAACAACACCTAATATAGACGAAAACTATTCCGAAACTGAAATATCAAAAAAGAAAATAGATTTCTTTTGTACTGTTTTTGATGAAAACTATGTTAATATTCGCAATGTTTCAAAAATACCAGTAAGATATAAAAATTACATTAATGATTTTCGAGATATTCAAGTTTATCTCAACAAAAAAAACCTCGATATAAAGGGTATTTCTACACATGACCCTCTGTTTTGTTACTTGACTTTTGATAGTACTTTTAATCTCGTGCACGAAGTGTATCAAGAAGAAGCTTTTTTTAATCAAATGGGTGATTTATGTTTGGAGGATAAAAAAATGTCACCCAAAGCAAAGAAAAGTGACAAACAACAACCAGCAAAGAGGGGTGGTAATATAAAGAAACAAGAATCTGGAGAAAAAAATGTCCCACAATCAGTAAATAAAGGTAAACAAGTTAAAGAGGAAGAGGATATCCAAAACCAACTAAAAAGAGCAATGGGGGTAAAAAAAATTGAAGAATTTGATTAATCAGATTTAAATAAAAAGGGTACAGGTAAAAACTTAATATTCAGTTTCACCATCTATACCCTTACACTAGAGAAGATATTTCATCACAGATTCTGATAGTAATTCAAATGATGAAAAGAAACCAAAAAAGAAACCAAAAAAACGAAAGCGACCAGTAAAGAAAGAAAAAAAAAAGAAAGAAAGAAAGAAATAAAGAAAGAAAGAAAGAAAGAAAAGAAAGAAAGAAAGGTAAAAGCTAAAGGAAAAAATCATAATAATAATTAGAAACTCAGTAAGAAGAGTCCCCGGACCAAAAAAAAAATTATCCACAATAAATACAATTATTTCTTCAATTCAGGTTTTTAATTTATTTTTAATTAATTTTTAAAGAAAATAATTTTTTTATATTTTTTTTTAAATAACAGTATGCTTTTATTAATCATCTTGTTCTGAGTTAGGAGTAAATGCTGAATAGTTATTAGGATCTCCGTATAAATTTGCTGGGTTGTTATCAAATGATCCTGTTGAAAAGCTATTGTCATTTGTATATTCATTATTGTCACCACTATCAACATTGTTAATGTTATTATCTATATTTTCTATGCTGTTGGAATTATTATTTATATTTTGAGATGGTGAGTTGATATTATCAATATCACCATTTGAATCATTTAAATGTTGTTTTTGATGGGGTGGTGTTATGGAAAAAATATCTAAACCATCTTTTTTTGCCTGTGCCAGATTTCTTAAATAAATACTATTTTGAGGACCTGTTTCTTCGACTAACCAAGTCAAAAGACCATTTGGATCTTGTAAAAGGTTCCATGGTGTGTCAAATTCAGATACCCTACCTGCATCTAATACCATGATACGATCTGAATCCATAATTGTATTAAGTCTATTATTTATAGATAATGGTTAATATAGTTTCTTTTTAAATAATTATTTTATGTAATTATAGTTACCTATGGGCAATTGTAAGAATTGTACAATCATTAAACTTTTCTTTTACACATTTCTGAATCAATGAATCAGTATTACCATCAACTGAGGCGGTTGCTTCGTCGAGAACTAAAATTTTTGGCTTTCTAAGAAGAGCACGTCCTAAAAAAAAGGTAAAGAGTTTGGTTAGTATAGTAAGGCGGAAAAAAAATTAAAATTAAAACATACCCAAACATATTAATTGACGTTGACCTACACTCCAATTATCACCGTTTTCACTATATTGAATGAAATGGTTAGTATTTGAATAAATTAAATAATTATTTTTATGATACTTACCTAACTTTACAATCTAAACCACCTTCTAAAGATTGAACAGCAGTGTTTAATTGTATATCTTCAAGTAAAGACCAGAGTGTTCCATCATCATGTTCTCTAAATGGATCGAGGTTTTCTCTTAATGTACCAGAGAATAAAACTGGGTCTTGAGGTATAATACTTAAATTACGACGTAAATCTTTTAAACCTATAGTTGAAATATCAAGACCATCAATTAAAATTCTTCCTTGATTGGGTTCAACTAAACGGAATAGGCCAACTAGCGTGCTGCTTTTACCAGACCCAGTACGACCAACAATACCAATCTTTTCTTTTGCATGAATTTCGATTGAAATTCCTTTTAAAACTGGATCCAAACCTTCTCTATAGCTCATGTAAAAGTCTTCGAATTTTATAGAGCCTTGTTCTGGCCAATTTGGTGGTGGACGAATATCAGTGATTTGTAAAGATTCTACTGGACCTTTAATATAGTGACAAATACGTTCTACAGAGTTCATTTTAGTTTCTGTATCACTCATTTGAAGAGTGGCACGATTTAAATTACCGGTTAAAGTAAGAGCATAGCTAAGTGATAAACCAACATTTGCGGCACTAAGAGTTCCTCTATCAATGGTGATGAATATACATGCAAAGAAGGTTACTAAATTTGCCAAGAAATCTAATCTTAAACCCAACCATTGATTCATAGCTTGAAGTGTTAAATAGCATTTGTTATTGTTATCTAAACGGGCATGATTTGTTAAAATATTTTCATATTGTTTTTTGTAAGCTCTAATTGAGACAACACCACCTAAAGTTTCAGAGAAATGCGAGAAAATTGGTGAACGAGAAATTGATTCTAAACGTTGTAGTTCTCTTGATGTATAACGGTAGAAAAATTGAAGAATATAGAAGATTATACAAATTGGGCCAAGGGGTATTAATAGAAATGGTGTAATAATTGAAATTAAAATAAGAGTGGCCATAACTGAAGTTATAAATACTATAAATTGAGCCATTGCTGTTGCAATTAAATTGTCAATACCATCTAAATCTCTGGTGAAACGATTAATAATACGACCTAGTGGGGTGATATCAAAGAACCACATTGGTGCTCTTAAAAGGGCATTGAATAGTTGATGATGAAGTGCTCTTGATGCTCTGACAGTGTAGTCAAAAAATAAGAAGTTACGGAAACATGAGATAATAATCGAGGTGATACCTATACCAATGTAAATACCGAGGAATTGGGTATCGGATAACTCATTAACGGTTGGATCTATAGCTCTTTTGGTACTAACGGTCTGCCAATGAGATAGCCACCAATCAACGAAAGTTCTTGAACCGGTCTCTAAAAGGAAGAAGATAAAGGTAACCAAGAACAACACACCACCACCAACAGTAATATATTTCCAATATACCCAAAACGCTACGGCACCCTCTTCACGTTCTTCTTGAGATGTTAAACTGCCACTTGCCTTTGAAATGGTATTAGTTTTTGTTGATTTTATCTTTTCTTCAATTACTATTTCTTCTTCATCATCTGGAACATCAATTTCTAAATCATGATCTTTGATTTCATCTACGCCATATGCCTTCAAAAGATGAGAAAATTCTTTTTGGGATGATACTAATTGTTGATAATTACCTCTTTCAGAGATTTCTCCATTCTTTAAAACTATTGCATCTGTTGCGAATGGTAAATAGTTTAGTTGGTTTGCCGCTAAAATTACAGTCTTGTTCTTTAAGATACCTTTAAAGCATTTATGGAAAAGATGCTTGCCTACATGTGCATCCACAGCACTTAATGGATCGTCTAAAATAAAAATATCGGCATCTGAATATACAGCACGTGCAATAGAAACACGTTGTTTTTGACCACCACTGAGATTTACACCACGCTCACCAATTTCGATTTGATCACCTTGAGGAAAAAGTTCGATATCTCGCTCTAGTGCACACACATCCAATATTTTTCGATATTTTTCTTCATCATATGGTTTGCCAAATAAAATATTATCCTTCAATGTAGCATTGATGATCCAAGCTTGTTGGGGTACATAAGCTATTGAACCTTTAATCGAAACATCCCCATCAATGACATCCATTTCACCAAGTGTAGCCTGTAATAATGAGGATTTACCTGAACCTACTGAACCAACTACCATTGTTAAAGATTTACCTGTTGCTTCTAAATCTATATTTTTTAAAACAAAATTTTCATCCTTTTTTTCAATATTCCATGATAGAGTTGCATTTTTTATATAAATACCATTAGGTTTACTTGGGTCTTGAGTTTCGTGAACTGGTTTCATTTCTGGTAACATCAAAAATTTTGTAACCCTGTCTGCAGCAACTTGCATTTGTACAGCTAATGCTATAATAATTGGTAAGAAACCTAAAGTTTTAAACATATTAGTATAAGAAATAATGGGTTGTCTAGTTATATTATATAATAATAGCAAAGCATACCTAGTGGTAGACGTAGAATATTTAAGTAAGATAGGGCAGAAAAAATTTCTGCAGCATTTAGTCTTTTATGGTAACCATAGTAGGAAGAGAAAACTAATACAGAAACAGCGGTTGGCAAAGCAGCTACGACTACAATTAATACTGCTCTATAACGTGAAAATTGGAATAATAATTTGATTTCAGCATCTCTTCTTTGGATGACTTTTCTTGCAAAACTATCTTCCCAAGCATACAGTTTTATAATTTTGATTGCTTGTAATATTTCATTTGTAGTTTTAACACGAGCATCGGTATAGTCAACTAATTTTCTTCTAATTTCTGTTAGTTTTTTAGCGGATAAACCATTTAAAGGAACTGATAAAATCATTAAACCTAAACCAACAAATGTGGGCCATCCTATAGCACGATATAGCAAAGCAATACAGACAATAATTTGTGGAAGTGCGAAAACACCATTATTAACTAACTGGAACACTTCAACCATACGTTGTGCATCGTTGCTCATTAAATTTACAATTTCACCTGGAGATGAGTTTGCTCTTGCAGAATTTGAAAGGTTTAATGATTTTTTATAAACATCTAAAACTATAATCGACCTTAGCTAAAAAAATAAAAATGTCTATTAGTTATAAATAAAAAAAGATTATTTTAATTTGACTTACCCTATCACCAGTTCTTGCAGAAATCATATTTGATTGATATAAGCAAAACGATCCAATCATTGAGGAGCAAAATAAAATTAAAGAATAATAATAACCCATGTTTGGATCTTCGCCTGTATCTATATTATTAATTGATGCAGTTACAAATTTAACCATTCTGCTAATAATCTCTGGTCCAACGAATTGTGATGCTGCATAAATAGCATAAAACAACCAACTTAAAATAAAATATCCACCAAATGCTCTAAATGCTGCTCTTAAATATTTTGGTCTAAAAAATTTAAAATTATATTAGTTTATTTAAATAAATTATAAAGTTTTTTTATATTACATACTTTGGTTTTTTCATTTCTATCTTCCATGCCTCTTCAATTTTTTTTGATAAATATTCAGATTTATCATATGATGCTAATTCCCAAATATGGTCTATTTGTAATACATTTCTATAACAGTGCCAAACAAACTTATCAGCCCACCCAAATGTTGCTTTTGATATTATATTGCTCTAGTATAAATAAAATAAATAATATTTTAATAAAATGGTTAAATTAAATTATAATAAAGAATATTTTAAAATCTACTTACATTTTCCTCGGCAGAGGGTTTGCCACCAAAACCTAAATGTTTAATTTTTTTTTCTTTCTTTTTATTTTCTTCAAGTTCACCGATTTCTTTAATTTCATCAATTGAGGGAAATTCATTTGATTGTTGAGGTATGTTTGGATGTGATATACTATCGATATCATTTATCTGTTGATGTTGTTCTTGGTCTTCATCATTATTATTTTTACCCATATTACAATTCTTTATATTCTATAAAATCTCTATTGATGTTATTTTTAGTGTTATTGTTAGTATATTTGACATTTAAATTAAATTTAAAATTAAAAGTTTAGTTTTTTTTTTTTTTTTTTTTTTAAAAAATTAAAGTAATTTAAATTACGACAGATAATTTCTTATTTTGAACTTTTAAATTACAAAAAATAAACAAATCAAAACCTTAGTTTTAATACTTTATATTTTAATATTTACTTTTTAAAAATTATCCAAAAAATTAAAAAGAATATTATTTTGTTTAAGAAAAAAATATTAAATTATTTCTTAAAACTGGAAGGAAATAAAAATTGAAGGAATACAGATTATAACAATAATATATTATATATATTATTTTTATATTACATATATTATTGTAAAAATAATTTTTTTAATTTTGATTGATATATTTAAATAAATAAAAAAAATAAATAAAAAAAAATATAAATAAATTATTATAAAATAAATAAAATAAATCAGCTATATGTACACACACGCACCAATAAATAAATAAAAATAAATAGTATTTATTAAATCATGATAAAAAGGAAAGTTCTATGATGATATAATTCGCCATTGATAAAAAGAAAAAATTGTTTTTTTCCCTTTTATGTGTGGGTAATTGTTTTTTATGTATTTATTATATATAATAGTTGATGGGGTTATTTTTTTAATTATTGTGTGGTTTTAGTGTGTTGAAACTATATATAATGAATTTAATATTGATTCATTTCTTTTTTAAAAACATTTATGTCTATATAAGACCAAAATATAATTCTAAATCAAATAAAAAATAAAAAATAAAAAAATTAAATTTAAAAAAAATAATTTTGTTTTTTTATTTTTTTTTTAATTTTTTTATAATTTTTTTTTTATGTCATATGATTTATTATTTGGTTAATAAACAAAACAATAATAAAAATGATTAACAGATCTATTTTAATTAAAAATAGACTTTCGTTTTTTAAAAGTTTAAAAAAAAATGAAACTATATTATCATCAATTAATATAAATTCTAATAATAGTATAAATGGAACTAGTAGTAATAATCTTTTTAATATAAATAATATCAACAGTAATAATAAGAATAATAATAATAATAATAAAAGATTTTATTCAAATTATTCAAAAATGACAATTTTTGATTCAAATATAAAAAAAATACAAAGGGATAACTCTGTTACAAATGTTGATAATCCAAAAGATTACGATTATTTATTCGAAGAAGTTTCTGATAGATTGGCTGATAGAATTTTGGTATGTTTAGATTCTTCTATTTATTCTTTTTTTTAAAAAACAAAAATAGTTTTATTAACCTTTTTTTATTATTTTTATTATTTTAGGATATTAAAGAATATAAATGTAGTAAGGTTTTAGATTTTGGTTGCAGAAATGGATTATTATTAAAAAATATTGAAAAAAGAGGTGTAAAATTTGATTCATATTATATGGTTGACTCATCCAAAGAATTATTATATAGAGATCAAAATGAAGATGATAAATATGAAGGTTGGTAAAATATAATATAATATAATAATAAATAATAATTTAATAATCGTATTAACATTATATTTTAGTAAAACCTACCAGAATTCTTTTAGATAGTTTAGAAGAAAAGTTACCAATCGAAGATCAAAGTTTGGACCTTATTGTTAGTAATTTATCATTACATTGGATCAATGATTTACCAGGTGTATTTGGTAATTTAAAGAGATTATTAAAACCAAATGGTGTATTTTTAGCAACACTTTTTGGTGAAGAAACCTTAACCGAATTAAAAGATGCATTATATTTAGCAGAGATTGAAAGAGAAGGTGGTTTTAGTCCTCATGTTTCACCCTTTACCAAAATTAGCGATATTGGAAATATTTTATCAAAAAATAGATTTTCCCTACCTACAGGTAACTATTACATATATTAATATATAACCATTTATTTTACTTTTATTAATACACTTTTATTTAATCTATTTTAGTTGACACAGAAAAAATTATAGTAAATTATGACAATATGTTTATTTTAATGAGAGATTTACAGAATATGGGCGAAAATAATGCAATTTTAAAGAGAAGAAATTTTACAAGTAAAGATACATTTTTAGCAGCATCATCCATTTACAGTCATTTATATGGTAATGAAAATGGTTCTATTCCAGCAACTTTTCAAATTATATTTTTAATTGGTTGGGCCCCACACGAATCACAACAAAAACCAAAAGCCAGAGGTTCTGCCACAAGACATTTTAGCGAGTTGGATAGTTCAGTAGGTTATAAATTAAACAATTCATCAAATCCTGTAAAAATAGATCATAGCATTGAAAATTTAAATGAAAATAATAAACAAGAGCATCAGAAACAACCAAATCAAGTAATTGACGATTCAATTAATGAACCTTTCCCACAAACTGAAGATTTTATAATTAAAAGATTAGATTTCCATGGTAATTTCCATTTCGATAAAAAAGTAACACCTAATAATGATGGTAATAATGATAATAACAATAACAACAACAATAACAATAATCAAAAAGATAATGGAAACGAAAATACAGATAATAAAAAATAAAATATGGTCGACAATTTTTTTTTTTTAAATTTTGATATACATAATAATGGCTATCTCTTTTTTTTATTATTAATTTTATTAAATAATAGGAGGAAAAAAAATTGAAATAGTTTTTTAGATAAATTCTTTTTTTTTTTTTTTTTTCATTTGAAAAAAAAAGAAAAGAGTTTTTGAGAGAAATAATGATAAAATCAATAATGATTAAATTATTGATTTAGCATTCACCAACATGCTCCTCATAGTCTTCTAATCCATAGTAATTTACACTTGATGAGGAGATTGGTTGTGAAGGTACAATTAATTCTTTAATAGATTGGGCTGGTTCAACTGGAGCTGAGGAATTTGTCGATCTATTTATTGTTAATTGTTCATGGTGATGCAACTGTTGTTCAACTTGGTTTTGTTGATGGTGAAGATTATGATGATGGTTTTTTTTGAGTTCATTCTATATTAATAAAATAATTTTAAATATTAATAAACTATTTAGAGGTGTATATTTATTAAGTTCTATTATTAATTAATTACATTCTCAGTTTTTAACTTGTGAATTAACCTAATTCGGTTATTATTCTGAATAATATTAATTTTATCCTCTAAATAAATTATAATTAGTAAATTTAGTAATTTAATGAATGTATTAATTAATAAATATGGTATATTTTACTTTTTTCATTTTTAAAAAATTCTTCTTCCAACTTTTCTTGTAAAGTTTGGTTGGATAAGGTAAGATTTTGAATCTTTCTAATTCTATTATTGTTAATTCTAGAATTAGTTTTTTCATTTTCAGAAAATGAATCGACTAAAATTTGATTTTGGGTCTTAAGTTCTGAAATAATCACATCTTTTTGCTTTAATTGAGCTTCAAGTAATTTAATTTTCTTTAAAGCATCTTCCAAAGAATGCTCTAATTTAATTACATTTTGTAATGATGGGTTTGGTTGGTTTGAAGCTTTATTGCTTGGTTTAATGGGATTATTGATGTTACCTCCTTTAATAGTTGACAATGGGGTTCTGCTATCAATAATTGGTCTATTGATTTGGTTCTCTTTATTTGAACTATTTATATATTGGGTCATTTTATACTGTAATGATGAGGGTGGTAGAGGTGGATGAAAATTAATGGTTATACAAATAATTGTTCTTAAACAAACAGTTTTTATTATTAAGTTTTTAAATTTAAATTATCTATATTTTTTTTTTTTATATTATTTTTTATTTTTTTTTATTTTTTATTTTTTTTTAAACAAAACAAAAAAACAAAGTACAAACAAAATAAAACACAACACAAAATAGGATTAAAACCCGAAATAAAAAAGTACAATGGAAACAAAATAATGTTATTATGCACACAAATAAATTAAAAAAATAAAAATTTTAAAATTAAAAAAAAAATTTATGTGATGTTGTAAAAATTAAAAAAAAATTAAAAAAAAATTAAAAAAAAATAAAATATAATTTTTTACCAAAAAAAAAAAACAATATTTTGAAAGATTTAATTTGGTAAAAATAAAAAATATTGGATGTATTATTGTTTATTTATTATATTCCAATGAACATTGGTTTAAGGAATTGGAACTTTGAATATCTAATATTTCTTTCGTTACGTTGACAATGTGAAAATATCTTCTACCCCCTAACAAAATGCCACCAAACCATCTAGTAACAACAACCAATACATTCTTTGATTGATTTTTATTTAGTGTAAAAAGCATCTTTTCGCCTGCGCCATCTTCACCATCATCATTACAATATTCATCCTAATACCAAATTGATTTTAATTAATATCTATTTAAGATAATAAGGTAATTAATTGTACTTACAATTTCACCATTTGGTAATTCTATTCTATATGTATACATATTATGAGTAGCCTCATATATTTTTTTATAGCTCAGTAAATGATCTAAAACCAATCTAACGTCCTCTTCATCCTTCACAATAGCTAAATGTGCTTGGAATTTACTCTTTTTTTCAGTTACTGCTGGTCCTGTATAAATGGTTGGTACTTTTCTATTATTAATAGGTTTGTTATTTTCATTTTGTTGTTGTTGTTGCTGTTGTTGTAATTGTAGTTGCTGTTGTTTTTGTTGATTTGTTTTTTGATTTTTATGATATTGAGAAGAGGATGATTTTTTATTTAGTTTATAATGGTCTAATAAAGTTTGAACAGAGTTTTCTTGAATCCAGCTAATCATTTGAAATATAATTAATTCGCCAGGATTCCAAAAATTTTCTAAATGTGAAGATAGTATTGATTGATCTGAAATTTGTAACCATGATGCTTTAATAGAAATATGTGGTGCCTCTGATTCTGGATATCCTTTTGGATAACTAAATTTAAAATAAATATTATAGTCATGATCTGTATCTATTATTAACCCATAATCACTATCAGTTTCTTTTAAACAGCTTATATTTGGTGTAATTATAACTTGGTAGCTTTTTGATTCGCCTTCAAAGTTATCATCTTCATCGTCTACTATTTCTTTAAATGTATCTATATAAATGGATGATATTGCTAAAATTTCATTCTCTTGCTCTTCATTCATTATTTATGGTTTGTTATTATATTTGTTATTATTATTTTTATATTAAAATAAATAATGATAGAATGTGCGTGTTTAATAATGCAATTTTTAAAAATTAAAAAAATTTTAAAAAAAAAAAAATTTAAAAAAAAAAATAAATAAAATTTACAAAAAAAAACTAATTATTTCAAAGAAGGATATCATTGTTAAAAATAAATATTAAAATAGTAATCATAAATCCTTATTTAAAATTTTTTTTTAATATATTTAAATAAAAAAAAATAGAAAAAAACAAAACATAATTTTTTTTTAAATTTTTTCAAAATTTTATTTTTAAAAATTTTTTTTTTTTCATTTATTTAAATTAAAACTTTTTTTTAAATAAACAATAATGTCAATGAACAATTATAATAATCAAAGTTTTGACTATGACAGGTCATTAAACTTGAGTCAATCATTTAATGACTCAATATTTAAAGATAAAATAAATCCAAATAGCAGTTTATTCAAATCATTAAGTAAAAGTAATAATCAAAGTAATAGTTTAATCAGCAGCAATATTAGCGAATTTATAAACTTTTATAAAAAGAATAGTGATTTGTTGGTAATAGAAAGGGAAATTAGCAATTTTTTAGATGGCCAAAGTAGAGATACTCAAGAAAATAGCACAAGAGAGGGTTTAATGGACTCAATGAATATATCTATTGGATTTTTGAGCGATGCTTTCAGTTCAATTAAGGTGCAAAGAGAATATATCCAAAAATTGGAAGAGAAGATAAAACTAGATACCAAATTAACAAGTGACTCTAATCAACAATCTAAAGATTTGATTAAAGCCGAGGAAGAGTTACAAGAATTAAAAATTAAATACAATAAACTCGAAGCAGATCGTCAAATACTATTAGATAAATTAGATGAAGATAAAGTAATTTTAGAAAACAATGAAAAAGAAAACCAAAGAAAAATTGCAAATAAAAATATCGAAATTGAAGTATTTATCACCATTTACACCTCTATTAATGCTAAATTAACTTTTATTAACTTTATTTATCTTTTTAATCTCTTTTTTATATAGGAATTAATTAAAAAAATCAAATTTTTATCAAATAGTGAAATCGAATTAGGAAAGAAATTAAATGAATCAGAAAAAAAGTTTTCAGACTTGGAAAGAAATACACAATTAAAAATTAGAGCCATCGAGAAAGAGAAAATGCAATTTAGAACTGAAGTAAATGAATTAAAACATAAATCACCAACCCACCCAAACAATGAAAACAAAGCCAAAGATTCAGAAATTAAACACTTGAAAACTATTAATAGACAATTGGATGAGCAAATTCAGCAACAAAAGAAAACATTGGAGTCAACTTTAAAAATATTGACCGAAAAAGAGAGTCAATTAGATCAACTTACAATCAATTCTATTAGCAATAGATCACCAATTTCAAAATCAAATTCTACCACTGGAACCACCATGACACCAAATGAAATTTATGAACAAAAACTTAAAGATTGTGAAATTATTATTCAATCATTGAAAAGTGAAATTCAGTATTATAAACAACAAAATCAAGATAGTGTTGGTGAAATTGAAAGATTAAAAACACTTTCAGATAATTTAGGTAATTTAGAGTTAATAAAGCAACAAAATGATTCCTATAAAGATAAACTTTCAAGACTCGAACCAATTATTGAAAAATATAACTCTTTACAAATTGAGTATTCAAATTTATTACAAGATATATCAAATAAGTAAGTATTATTTATTTTACTATTTATTAATATATTAAATATTAATTTTTTTTTTTTAGTGAGAATAATTCAGAAAATAATAATCAAATCGAACAATTAAAACAAAAGATTATAAAATTAGAAAATGATAATCAATTATTAATATCAAAAATTGGGGATTTAACAGCAAATTGGAAATTAGTAGAGAATAGAAATAAAGATATTAATGAAAATATTGAAAGTGAAAAAGAAAGTATTGAAAATAAAGAAAAAAGAATTAGTGAACTAACAGAAAAAATTAAAAGAGTAGAAAAATTAAACTATTTATTAAAGAGAGAAAGGGACAACTTTAAAAACATATTGGATGCATATGATGAAGAAGATCCAAATTCAATGAATGTGGACAGTACACGTGACAGTTTAAAGAATGATAGAATTAAAGAATTAGAAAGAGCATTAAAAGAAAAAACATTATGGATTGAAGAGTTTGAATCCCAATTTGATTTGGGAAATGGAATTGGCAAGGGTACATCTACTGAAAAAGCAAATAATGAAAAGATTAGTCAACAACAATATAAAGATGAAATTAGCAAATTAAATAAAGAAATCGAAGGCCTATTAGAAGAGAATGCAATGTTAGAGTCAAGACTAGGCAAAGGTGAATACGATCCAACCAAAACTAAGGTACTACACTTTGTAAACAACCCAACCACTGCTATTTTAAATCCAAAGATCGATGTAAGCAACGGTATGGAAGGTGATAAAAAAATCTTAGAAGAGAACCACAGATTACAAATTCAAATCAATGACAGCGAAAAGAAATTGGACCGTTTGAAATTAATATTTAGACAAAAAATCAATGAATTCAGAGAAGGTGTTTATGCATTATTAGGCTACAAGATCGAAGTCGATACAAATGGTCTTTATAAACTTCAGTCAATGTATGCAGAAAGTGAAAATGACTTTTTAATTTTTAAAAATAATACTTCTGGTTCAAATAAAACAATTCAAATGGAGCTTTTAGAAACAGATTTCACAAGAAATTTGGATAAAGAAATTAAAGCCTATTTATTTACTTGTAAATCTATACCTTCGTTCCTATCCCAAGTTACAATAGATCTATTCTCAAGACAAACCTTCCATCCATAAAAAAAAAAAAATTTATTTTCATAAAAGACTTTATTTTTTTTTTTTTTTAAAATTAAATATTATTAATAATAAATATAAATTAACATATCAAAATATTTTAAATAAAAGGGTTATAAATCTCTGTTTTTTTTTATATACATAATTACAAAAATACTTTTTTTTAAAATGAAGAAATTATTTGTTTCTTACACCTATTAGCTTATTAAAGTATGGGGATTCATAAAGATTATATAAATATTTTTTTTAATCTACATTATTTACAATTTTTATATATAATAATTGAAGATTATATATTTATGGATAACTTATATTTTTTTGTGCATAAAAAAAAAAATTAAAAAAAATCTAAATTATTCCTCGTACTTGTATTAAATATATTTTGTTTCAAAACATATAAATATTGAATATTAATTATAGATCATCTATATTAATAGATGGCTATAATTGGTAAATATATATTTTTAATTAAAAAAAAAAAAAAATAAAAAAAAAATTTAAATTTAAACACTTATTTTTATTTTTTTTTTTAAATTTATTTTATTTATTTTAATTCACCCACTATATCAATAAGAAAAAAGAAATAAAGAAATGTTAGAAAATAATAGAAATAGTTTTGATATTGCGTATCCTTTTTTTGGAGGTTATTTACACACTAAATTATTTTCAATAATTATGAAACATGATATTTGTGATATGTTAGAAACAGAAGAAAATGGATTACACTATAAAGAAATATCAAAAATTACAAAAATAAATGAAAATTCCATTTATAGGGTAATGCGTTATTTCATCCCATTCAAGTTATTTACAGAAAAAGAGAATGGTGTATTTTGCAAAACTGAAATTAGTACAATGTTTTCAGGTACTTTTAAAGCATTGGCAAAAAGATACAGCAATGATTACAACTATAAGCTATACGATAATATCGAAGAATCAATAATGAAAAATGTGAATATGGGTCCAGAAGCACTTGGTGTAGAAAAGTACTGGGATAGTTTTCAAAAGTATCCAGAGTATTGCAAACTTTATATGGATTCAATGAAATCATACAGCAAACTTCAAATTGAAAATATATTACAAAATGTTGATTTTTCTCCTTATAAAAGTATAGCAGATATTGGTGGTTCACATGGTTTATTAATCAAAGAAATCCTAGACAACTACCAATCAATTGCTGGTATCAACTTTGATCTCAAATGTGTTCTCGACAAATCTCCATTAAAAGAGACACCAAGATTATCTTTAGTCAACGGTAGCTTTTTCGACCAAGTTCCAAAAGCCAATTGTTTCATTTTAAAAAATATCTTACACGATTGGGATGACGAACACTGTATTAAAATTTTACAAACAGTAATAAAATCAATGGATCAAGATTCAAAAATAATGATAATCGACTATATAATCGAACCAAAACAATACAAAACACAACAACTATTCACCGATATAATAATGTTACATTGCTATAATGGTAAAGAAAGAACAAAAGAAGATTGGGACCAACTTTTTGAAAAGGCAAATTTAAAAAGAGATAAAATAATATCCAATGTTGAGGCCGGTTGTCAAATACTTTCGTTAAAATAATCAAAACCAATTTTAACAGGCAATAAATAGTATCTATTATTACTTCTATCCATACCCATGTTTTATAATTTAAAAATAAATAAAAAAGTAATTTCTTTTAAAAATCAATATTTGTGCACGAGGTGTGGTTTGTGTTGCAATTCAAAAAAAAAAAAAATTTTAGAAAAATATTTTTAATTTTTTAAAATTTTTTTTTTTTTAATTTTTTAATTTTTTTAATTTTTAAATTTTTTATTTTTTTTATTTTTTTATTTTTCTTTTATTATATCCATCGACCAACATATATATAAATTATCTTTTTTTACATATTTATTTATATATATTATATTTATTTTACAATTAGAAATAATTACATTTTGTAGTGTATATTGTTTTTTTTTTTTTTTTTTCTAGAAGTGTGTTTTTTTTAATTTTTTTTCTTTTATCTTTATTAATCAGTATTTGTCATAGTACTGATTTTTTAATAGGAATGAAGAACTAAAATTTTTCACTCCTATATTATATATGATATTTTAAAAAAAGATCCATAAACACATTTCTCTCTTTTTTTAAAAAGAATAATAGTCATTTATCAAATAGTTTGTAATCAAAGTTAATATAATAATAGTTTTAATAATTAATCATATAAACAAATAAAAAAATTAAAAAAATATATTTATTGTATATAAAATAATAGTTTCAGTCATATCAATAACATCAAATAAATATAACATAATAATAATAATAATAATAATAAAATAATCAAAAATGAATCAACCACCAAATAAATGTCAAGTTTATTTAAATTTAGGAAGTCCTTTAAGTGCAATTAGTGCATCATATGATCAAAATAGATTAATTGTTGCTGGTAGAGATAGTAAGTAGTTTTAAAAAAAATAAAAAAATAAAAAACCAAATTCTTACCAAATTATTATTTTAGTTGTTAAAATTGTATCACTTCAAAATAACGAATTTAAAATCACAAGTAATTTAAGAGCAGGTAAAACCCAATCTTTAAATTATACTGGAAATGATTGTTGTTGGCATCCCTCAAATTCAGAGAGTAAATATTTTAAAAAAAAAAAAATATATCAAAAAATTAAAATTCTTATTATTTTCTTTTTTTTTTTTAGATCATAAATCATTAATTGCTACAGCAGCCACAAATGGTGCAGTTGTTATTTGGAATTTAGTTAGAGATGGTTCTAAATCAGTAGAAAGAGTATTTTCAGATCACTCTAGAGCAGTTAATAAATTAGCATGGCATCCAGATAAATTAGATTGTTTATTAACAGGTTCACAAGATAATACGTTAAGATTTTGGGATATTAGAGATTCAGCCAATGCTTCAAAAATAACATTTTCACCAAAATCAGAATCAATTAGAGATGTACAATTTAATCCATTTCAAAGTAATCAATTTGCAGCAGCATTCGATAATGGCACAGTTCAATTATGGGATATTAGAAAACCAACAACACCAGCTGAAAAGATTACCTCACATCAAGGTTTAGTTTTAACAATTGATTGGCATCCAGAAGAAAAAAATATAATTGCAAGTGGTGGTCGTGATCGTGCTATTAGGGTTTGGGATTTCTCAACTGGTCGTTCTTTAAATAGTGTTTCAACCATTTCTAGTGTATCTCGTATCAAGTGGCGTCCAGCTAATAAATGGCATATTGCCAGCTGTTCCTCAATCGTAGATTTCAATATTCATGTATGGGATGTCAAGAAACCATATATCCCTTTATTCTCTTTTACTGACCATCGCGATGTTCCAACTGGTTTAATATGGAGATCCTCTTCCACTCTTATCTCTTGCAGTAAAGATAGTAACCTCTTATTGAATGAATATAATGACGCCTATAAACCATATAAACATATTAGAACTACTGGCATTTCTTGGAATATAAATAATGAAATTGCTTCAATTAACGATAAAATTAATAGAAACCAAAACCCCGAGTAAGCATTAGTTATACAATACATAAATATATTTAATTAGAAACATTTTATTAATTTTTTTTTTTTTAATAGCAATGCATTATTACAACAACATCAACAACATCAGCAACAACAACAATCATATCAAGCCCCAATGCATGCTTCATTTTTTGCATCTTTTAATGTTCCAACACCTCCACCACTCCCACCACTCGTCAAAGTTGAACAGGGAGTAATGAATGTTTTTACACCAAAATATCCAAATATCGATAATATTAATGATGAAAGATATGTTTTTGAATATTATGCAAAAAACTATAAATTTAGGGGCGATTCATTTAATAACTTATGTCAACATAATCAATTGGTATCTTTAAACGTAAAACAATATCATATAAGTAAAGTTTGGTCATTATTACAGCTTTATTTCAGTCATTTAGATCAATTAAAACCAAAAGACGAAAGAGAAACTGAAGAGCAAATATTACAACAACAGCAACAATTACAATTACAAAAAGATCAAAAAGAGAAATCAAAAGAAGAAAAACAACAAAAAGATCAAAACAAACAAGATGAAAATCAAAAGCAACAACCAGATAAAGAGATACAACAAGAAAAAGAAAAAGAAAATCACCAAGAAGAAAACAGTAAAGAGATCGAAAAAATAAAAAATATTGAAACAATTAAAAACAATAATAGTAATAATAAAGAGTTATCAACTAAATCGAATGAAGATGATGACAAAAAAGAAAATTTAGATAGTATCAAGTTTGATGGTTTTGGTCAATTAAATGGCGGTGATGTTTTCGATCCATCCAACGATATGATGACTGCTAAAGAGCCATCATTAGATTTTGCTGACTCTGGTAATGATCTCTTTAATAACTTATTATCAGCCGAGGCCGTTACACCATTAGTTTCATTACCCATCAGAGCTCCATCTTTAGACAATCAAAAATCAACAGAAAACAATTTAGATAAAAGCAAGGATAACAATAAAAGGCAAAAAGATGATAAAGCAGATAATAATAAAAAAGATAAAGATGACAAAAATAATAATGATAAAAGTAAAGAAAATAATGACTCTGATAAAAACAGTACAGACAACAATCATAAAGATAATAATACGTTAGGTAAAAGCAACAATAGTAATAATGACAATAATAATAAAGAAAAGGATAATAGCAAAGAGAAACAAGATAAAAAGAATAACAGCGAAGATTTAAAAATTTTAATACCATGTTTTGAATTTGAAGAATTTGATTTCCAACCTATTTTAATTGATATGTTGGATTGTTGTATAGAAAGAGGTGACGTTCAAACATGTGTATTTATAGTTTTAATATTAAATAGGTATATAGATTTAAATATCGACAAGAATCAATTGACCCGTTGGTTTGGCTCATACATCGATTTATTACAACGTTTCAAATTTTGGAGTTTATCACTAGAAGTTATGAAATATTGCGATGACCAAACCATAAATCAAGCATCAAAAAGACACACAACCTATATTAGCGCATGTTCCCATTGTGGTAAATCTATCCCCCAAAATAGTTTAATTTGTGAAAAATGTAACCGTATCGCAAGTAAATGCTCAATCTGTCGTTTACCAGTAAAAGGTGTTTTTGTATGGTGTCAAGGTTGTGGCCATGGTGGTCATTTAGATCATATGAAAAGTTGGTTCATTGACAACAAACAAAAGTCTTGCCCTACTGGCTGCACACATATATGCACCCCATTATTCAAATAACTATTTAAATTAAACAATAATCTTTAAAAAAAAAAAAAAAAAATATTAAAAATAAATTATTTTTTCATATAATATCATAATAATTTAAAATATTTATTAGTTTTAGTTTTTTTTATTTATGTTCATTATAGGATAAAATGGCCATATTAATTTTTTGATTAACATAAAATAAACATAAATATTATCCCAGTAAAAAGATTTTATTATAATTTAATATATTAACAACCAATTATTGCATTATTTTTTTTTTTTTTTTTTTATATTTTTTTAATTTAAAATTATTTTTTTTTTTTAAATTTTTTAAAAATTTTTTTTTGTAGGTTCACATATAATAATTAATAATTAAAATGCTTAGCAGAATTAGCTTTGGGGTAATTAATAAATTAAAGATTGATAAATCTTCAACTTTAGTGTTAAAAACCAATAATAATAATAATAAATTTATAATTAATCAATTCCAATTATTAAACAACACAAATAAAAATAATATCAATCAATTTGGAAAAAGATCTTTTTGCTCTTCCAGTAAACCAGAACCACCAAAAAATGAATCAAAACTATTTAATTTAATGTCTGGAAAAACCTATTCAAAATTCTATAATAAAGATAAAGGAACATTTTCATTATCAAATCATTTCCTTTTAATCTTTGGTATTAGTTGTATTGCTTTTTCTCTACCAGCATTCATCATGTATTTCTTTGGTAATGATGGAACATTGGACGATGTAGAAGTATTCAAATTAATGAATTATTACTGTAGCTATTATTTATTATTTATTATTTATTAATTATAATAACATATTTTATTAATTTTTTATTTTAAAAAAAAAAAAGTTAATTTTTATTTTCCATTTAGAATTGTAGATCAAAAAGGTTATATTAAAAATATGGTAGAAAGATATAAAGATAACACAATTAGCGAAATGGATTTTAGAAGTATTGAAGGGATGATTACAAATCCATCTCTTGATCATATAGACTACCTCGAAAAATATGGTTTCTCAAAAGCTGTTTTTGATAAAATTTTAGAAAAGAAAGGTCATTTAAACAAAAATGATAAAGAAATGTACTTAGTACTCCTAATGATGATGACAGGTAGAAGTGTACCAGACGAAGTTTTAAAAAAAACTGATTTTGAAAGCACTTTTAAAGGTAAATATTAATTTAATACACCGCGAATAATACTATTTAATATTAATTATTTTTTTTAATTTTAGATAATACTACACAAAATAGAAATATTTTAATGGAATATGGATCAAAGGCTAAAAGTATGTTTGAAATTAACAAAACTGATTTACTAATATCAGCATTAGTTGCAGCACCAATTACTTCATATCTTGCATTCCGTTTTAAACTTCCAATGATGTATGTATTCAGATCGATGAGCAGAAGTTCATTTGTTACAGCAGCCCTTATTTCAACCCCACTCATAAATAAAGCATTCCAATCCTTCTCTTTATCTAAAAGCAATGAAATTGGACAACATATTATTGCTACCAGAGTCGCTAATATTGCATTTGGTTCATTTTTAATTTACTTGTCAACTTTACCCTTCATCACAGTTTTAGCCCCAATTTCACTCACTCTTTTTATTACCAAATCAATTTCACTTTTGTTATTTACAAGAGAATTGAGAGCAAAAGCAAAAGAAATAAAAGAAACCAAAATAAAAGAATAAATAAAAAAGAATAAAAGAATAAAAGAATAAATAAATAATTATAATTATTAATACTTTACATATTATTTTATTTTATTTTATTTTTTTTAGAAAATATTAAATAAATTAATTTAATTTATTAAATTTTTATTATTACTATTATTAATTATTAGTTGTTACTTATATTTATATTTATTTATTATTAATTATTTGTTTATTACTTTTAATTTGATATATCTAAGTTGTTAAGATTAAACCAATTGAAACAATAATACATGAAAATACTTTTTCCCTAACTCTTTTAACATCTCTACCAAAATTTAAAAACTTCTTTAATAAGATTGCTACTATTAAGTTAAAGAATTGATTAAGAGCACCCTCTGCAGCCGAAACTATACCACTGTTGTAATAAAGATGATATGAAATTGACACAAAGAAATAGCCAGACAAAGATAGGATTTCGCCAATAGCAGAAAGATAAATGTATTTTCTTGGGATTTTTAAAAGTGTTATTGCTGATCTTCTAAAGGAACGTACAAAGAGAATTAGGAATCCAAAGGTTAGACAATTGCCATAAGTTGAGACAACGAGGAATGATTTACTGCTCATTGCACCAGTTTCATTTGTACAAAAGGATACGATTAAATAATAAATTGCAATTAAAAAATCTGATAATAATACCTGTGATACTGCCTTCTGTTTCCAAAAAGACATCTTTGATAGCTGGCTGAAATCGCCTTCTAATGATGGATAAAAACTACCGAAAAAGATTAATGTGAACGCAAATAAATGTGTTGGTGTGATGATTTTATGAAAAGTTGAAAGTATTGGATAATAATAACTGAGAATCGATAAAATAATGGATAGTGGTAAAATAATGATTGAATTTAACTGGATCATTGGTACAATAATAGTTGATGATGATGATTCGAACGATTTTAATAAGTAAATTAGAGAGCCACACTGAAAAACACCTCCAATTAAAGCGGCCCATGTAACCATTGTGGGTGATATTCTTTCTAAACTATTAGCTGCTGTAAAACCATCATTTGCGATATATGTATCGTAATATTCGTAAAGTTGTGTAGTACCCATTGCACTGTGAATGAAAATACCCAAGAAAAACATTACTATTCCCGAGATAATTGCATCTTGCTCACCGGTCAATTTTTCCCCTGTGGGTGTAGTTGCTTTGTTCTCTGTTGAAATTACCATATTCTTTTCTTCGTCTCCATCTTTATTATTCTTTTCAATGTCGTCTTTTTCACTCTTTTCTTTTTCTTCGTCTTGTTCGCCGATTACCGCATCGGAAATTACATCACATCCCGCCCACAAAACAGCACCTATAATTAAAGGAACTAACCATAATAAATCCATTTATTACAATTATATATTTTCTTTCTTCGTTTTTAATAATATACTAAAATTTGGTATATTATTATTTTAAATAAATATATAGTTGAAAAAAAAACACACTTTATCCCCACATACACAAAAACAATGTTTTAAAAAAAATAATATATATACTATTAAATATATATAAATATTTCCTTTTTTTTATTCTATCGTGATTAAATAAAAAGAAATAATATGAGATAAATCAAAATTTTATTATTATAAAAATTTTTAAAAAAATAAATTAAAAAAATAAATAATTTTAAATATTTTAAATTAAAAAAAATTTTAAAAAAAAAAAAAAAAAAAAAAATAGTTTTTTCATTTTCCATTGTGGTCACCACCAAAATATTTATTTTAATTTATTGTTAAAGGAAAAAATAATAACTTTATTGATTTGATTTTAATAGTATACCAACTGATAACAATATACTTAATTTTAATACCATTTTAGCTGATAATAAATCGATATAAAATAATGAAGTTTTTGATTTCTTGAAAATATTATACAAATCATATATGGTTAATAATGGTAAATTTAAATAATAATTATTTAATTTGATTGATATAAAAATAATGTATAAATAAATTCTAAAATTATTTGAAAAATGTTAGTTATAATAATTAAAAAAAAAAAAATAAATAAAAAGATAAATCTAATACATACATCAAATAAATTGTAAAATATACTATATAAGATATTTTTTCACCTAAAAATATTGGAATTGTTTTAATATTAGCCATTTTATCAACCTTGATATCCCTAACATTATTTGAATAGATTATTGATAAACTTCCCAAAGTAAATATCATTGAGTAATGAAATAAATCATTTAATCCATTATTAGTTTGACAATAATACGAAAATGATCCAATAAAAAAATATCCAATTGAAGCTGAGAGTTCCCCTAAAAAATTATATCTATTTTTTTTAAATTTTTAAATATTATTATAATAATATAGTAAAATAAAACAATATAAACTTACTTGAATTCAAAAGGTGGGGCTGTATAAAAAAATGCTAAAAAAGTATTTAATACTATTATTGATAATACAATAACTGATTTTAAATTATTGTTGCTTATTAAATAGTTTAAATAAATGGTTATTAATATAGTCAATGCAAATGTTAATTTTGTAAATAAATAAATTTGATTTAATGATAGACTATATTTAAACATTGTTCTATCACCTGATGTCTCTTCATTGTCTAATCCTTTAATAAAATCATAATATGAATTCACTAAATTTGAAATATTGTTAACTAAAATTTGAATTAAAAGTGTGCATAAAAATATCCTATAATCGATTTCAATTCCATTTTTATATAATAAAGATATATTAATAATATTTCCTGCAAAAACAAAATTCAATGTCCAAACTCTTGTTGAATTAAGATAATTTCTAAAAAATAAAAGCATTGTGTGAAAAGGGTTAGGGGTTAAATAATATAATAAATTAAAAAAAAACAATTTAGTTTTTAAAATAAATTTTTTTTATTCATTTTATCTTTAAAAAAAAAAAAAATTAAAAAAAATTAAAAGAAATAATTACAAATGGGGGAAATAAATTATTTATAATTTGTTTAAATAAAGAAATAAAAATACATTTTCTTTCAATTGTTCAATTGTACTTTTAATTTTTTTTTTCCCAATTACGCAAAACTGCACAAAATAGATTTGGATCTATTTTTGATGTCAAAAAAAAAACGGACAAAAAAATAATTTAAAAAAAAAATAATTTAAAAAAATAATAATAATAATAAATTATTTTAATAAAAATAATTTTTTTTTTATTTTTCATTTTTTTTAAAAAAACAAAAAAATAAAATTCAGATAATAATAAATAATAAATAATATATGAAATTTAAATTTCATATTAATTTTTCAATATTTAATAGCACTATATTATAATTTATAAAAAAAAAAAGAAATAGCAATAAAAAATAATAATATTAAACTATATAATAATACATTTATAAAATTACATTTTTTTTTTTTAATACCAATAATAGTAAAATTAATTAATGAAATATTAAAAAACTTATCAATAAATAGAAAAGTAAAATTAAATTAAATAATAAAAAGTAATAAAATGCAATCCATACCATTTGTAAAATCACACAGAAGAACAGCATCAGGCAGAAAAATGATGGATATTTCAATCGATGTTGAGGCTTTAACCAACGATGAAAAACTGTCCAGGTCATTACATACCGGTGTTAGAAGAAGATCTTCGGTTGTGGATAGACCAAGATTATTTGAATGGTTTATAGTAATTGGTGTACCCCCACTCGAAGGAAACTCAACAACATCATTAAATAATACATCGTCACCCAACACATCCCCACCACTATCATCATCAACACCTGCAGCAAGTAAACCATCACTAATTAGATCATCGTCACCAATTCCATTTTTATCATCATCATTTTCATCACCCCCAACTCACAATACAACACCTCCTCTTTTTTCTAATAATAAACCAGAGCAACCTAAAATTCTTTATCAATATCCACCTGATAAACCATTAAATAATCTGTCAGTAGAGTTTTTCCCATTCCCAAATGGTATTAATGTATCCACAGTATCACAAACTGCATCACACACAAATCTTTTCCAAGTTTTATATCAACAAAAGAATTTAAAACAACCTGAAGACTCTTTTGTTTTTATGATGACTGATGAAAAGAAAGACGTTTTATATGGTGTATGCACAACTAAAACATCATCTATTGGAACACTAGCTAAGGGACAACGTTTTGAAGTAGATATCGATGATGAACCATGCGACGATGAAAGTATTCCTCAAGTTGGTGATGTTATCTATACTGCACCTAGATGCTTTTGTATCATTACAAAATATCCATTCTTTCCTTTACACTTTGATATAATAAATGGATTGTTGGCACTTCAACATATGCAAGAAATTACCAAATTCCAAAACTTAATCTCATTATCATCAACAAAAAGAAATTTAAAAAAACAGCAACAACAACAATCATTATCAGCTTCACCTCATACTTTATCTACATCCCATCAAAACAATAATAATAATAATAGTAGTAATAATTTATCAGCAACAACTACAATTATTGTAACATCAACAGATTCCCCAACACCAATTGAAGATCCATTAGTTAATAATTCAGGATTTAGGGTTAAAGAAAGACCAATTTTAGAACTTATTGAATATTTCTATAATCATCCAGTACCAAACTTTGGACAAACTGTATCATATCATATCAAAGTTTTAGGTGAACAAACCATAAAATTTAAAAGAGCACTAAAGACAGATGGCGCCAACAATGGCTCAAGATCACCAGCAATCAACCAAAATAATTTGGACTATAGTGATTTTATGTTAAAATATGGGTTATTTACCACTATTCAATTGGTTCAACCAAAAACCTTAATAATATTATTAAATTCAATTTTATTAGAAAAAAAAGTAATTTTTTATTCAAAAACTATTAGAGTTTTAACTTCTGTAATGTATGTAGATAATTTTAAATACCATTATATATTTTAAATCATTTTGATTAACATTTTTTTTTTTTTTTTTTTTTTTTTTTTTTGTTTTTATAATATAGTTTTTCACTTATTTCATTATTATCTCCATTTAGTTATCAATCAGTAATATTACCATTATTACCCAATTCAGTATCATCATTATCAGTACAAGATTTATTGGCAGCACCAGTACCCTATATTATTGGTTTAACAGAAATGCCTAAAGATGTAGATTTCTCTGATATCGTGCTCTATGATATTGACTCTGCCAAATTAACATGCACCAATAAAGTAATGTTGTTCCCACACTGGGAAGATTTATTAGCCGTTTTCAATACAGCATTAAAAGATATTAAACAAACTATAACCTCAAAGAAAACTACTTTCATACCAAACGAAGATCAAGAACAAAGGTTAAATCCATTCATATCAGGTATAAATAATCATTTAGAGAAACTTTTCGAAAACTTTAAGAGACATTGTGTTAGAAATGTTACAGAGCAAAAGTCAATTTCCATCTTTGTTAAAGAATCTTTTATATTTACCGAGTTTCCAGACTTTGAAGAGCATCAAGATTGGATGGGTGAATTTTTAAAAACATTAATGTTTTCAGTATTTTTGGATCAAAAATTACGTTTAGAAGATAATGACCAATTAGAAGACAGTATTTAAATAAATATAAATTATTTCTTTTTCATTTTTCTTTTTTTTTTTTTTTTTTTATTTCTTAAAAAGATATTTTTTTTCTTTTACTATACACGAAATTACAAATTCAGTGATTTAAAAAAAAATCTTAATAATTATAATAAAAATATTAAAAATAATAACAATAATAAATAATTTTCCGATTATTATGGGGGCATATAAAAATTTGTTTATTGGTTATTATTTTAATTATCAAAAAAATTTATTGGTGATTTTACTTTTATTATTATTAAAGAAAAGAAAAAAATAATAATAGATATTTTAATTTACTATTAATAGTATATACACCCATACAAGAGGACCAATAGAAATATTAATTTAAATTAAAAATTGAATAAAAATTTATTCCTTAAAAATAAAGTAAAAAATATAAGTTTTATACGAATTTTCTATATCTTAAAATGAATCAATATTAGTTTTTTTTAAAGAGGTTATTATAATAATCATAATGATAAAAAAATTAAAAAATTTTTTTTACATTTTTTTTTTAGATATTTTTTCACAAATTTTAGAAATTTGTTCACATGCACATATTTTTTACAATAATGCGAAATAAAAAAAAAAACTTACAAACCTGCAAATTTCAGTATGACAACGAAATATAACCACCAAAAGTGTTGTTTTTATTTTGTTTGTTTGAGATGCTTATCTTGTCTTTTAACCTATTTAGAGCTTAATTTTTAATTTTTTTAAATAATATTTTTTTTTTCTTCAAAACCACATGTTTTTGCGTTCCTCAAAAAAACTTTTGGATATTTTCAAATCAAAGAACAGCTCTATCATTTTTATTTTTTTTTTAAAAAAAAAAAAATACAAATAGATAAATGAATTTTCTTTGATAAATATTTCTAAAAAAAAATATATATAAATAATGAATGGAACAAATTTTTTTTTTTTTTTTTTTCAATTATTATTTATCAATAAAAATTTTACTTTTTTTCTTTTTCTTTTTTCTTTTTACTTTTTCTTTTTCTTTTTTTTTGTTTTTTTTTTATTAATTATTATTTATTCATTCATTTATATTATTAATTATTTTTTTAAAATTTGCTTTTTTTCTTTTTTTCTTTTTTTTTTTTTTTTTTTTTTTTTTTTTCCAATATTTCATCCATTTTATTCATTTCGTTCATTCCATTATATTATTTTGTATATATTTTAAATATTTTTGTATATTCTGTAAATTGATCAATTATTTTTTGTGTTTAAAAATAATAGTTTTTTAAAAAATAAAAAAAAAAAAAAAAAAAAGAAAAAAAAGAAAAAAAGAAAAGAAAAAAAAAATGAATAATAGTAGTAATAATATCAATATCAAAAGGGATATTTCGAGACATGTTCCATCAGAATGGGACTTTTTTTTTGACTCAGACAAGGAAGGAGAAACAAACACAAAAGTATTATTTTTTTATATAAATTAAATTTTATTTTAAAAATGTTTAATTGTTTCATGTTTATGAAATAACCATAATAAATAATGACAAAAAATAATTAATAACAACAATAATTTCATTGTATTATAATTGATTTTAATTTTGTATTAATTTTATTTTTTATATTTTATTATAGCAAAATATAAAAAATCAAAAAATTAGAAAAGCTTTTGTTTGTGGAAATAGTTATGGAGGAAAGTACCATTTTGATAAAGATGCTCAAAGAGTTTCAGATATATTGCAAGATAAATGTGGTTTTAATTGTACTTTAGTTTTAAATGAACCAAATTTAAAAAAATGTTTTGTTGAATTTATTAATTCATTCAAATATACTGAAACAAATGTAGATTTAATTTTTTATTTTTCAGGCCACACTGTATCTAAAAGTATGTATTAATAATAGTTTTATATTTTAACAATGCTATCATGTTGTATTAATAAAATTAAAATATCCAGAGAGTGGGTTAGAGTTAGAGTTAGATAAAAGCAATGAAACATCACCTGGTTGTACTAGTAGTAAAAAGAAAAAATCTTTTCTTTGTTTAAATGAATTGGTCGATATAGTCGATTTAAAAGAAAAGGATATCGAGGTTAGTAATTTAAAGGTATCAGATATCCAATTATCTTTTAAAAAACTTTTTATTTTAGAATGTTGTAGATTAAATGACGATGCCACCACTGACCAATATATTTCAATTTTAAAAAAATATCCAAGACCAGTCGAATCTCAATTCAAAGAAAGTAAAAGTAAGTTTAATAGTAATCTAAAAATTCTAATTGTTTATATTAATTTAAATTTTTTTTTTTTTATAGATACTGCATTTTTATATTCAACAAATTTAGGTAAATATGCATCAGAAAGAGATCCATTATCAACATTTACTGAATCTTTAGTAGGAAGAATGACAAGTAAAAGAGCTCCTGGTAGAGATCTAAATACTGTTAGTGAAATCATTCAAGAGGACTTGTATAGTCAATATAAAAAAAGCAATTTTTTAAATCCCATTGATTATAATCAACAATATAAAATTTGGTTTTCAAGTTTAAATATGTTTAGCTTGGACATCTCTGGAAGTGGAAGTACCCAAGAGGAAAAGTTAGCATCTGAATTTGTTCATAACTTATTTGAAAAATTTTTAAAAGATAAATTTTATTGTTTCTTTGGTGATACTGAATCAATGGGAAAATTCGTATTAGTAGAAAATGAAGATCCATTAGAAGTAAAGAAAAAGCAAAAACAACAATACTTAAAGAATCGTAGATGTGCATCTCCATCCCCAAGTGGTTCGCCTCTATTAAAGCTTCCAAATGGTATTGATAGAGGTTCTCCATCCCCAAGTGGTTCACCTCTTATAAAATCATCAAGTGGAGTAGAATTAAATAAATCCCCAAGTCTTTTTTCTGGTAGTAATGGAATGCCTCCATTGTGTGGTAACTCGCCATCATCAAGATGTTCATCTCCAAGTTGGGCTATCGGTATTAATATTTCAAAATCTGCACCATGCATTCCTTTAAGTCAATCACCAAAACTATTAGTACTGGGTATCAATAAAAATACAAAATTTCATATTAATGATGTATCTCAAGGCAGTACCGATGAAGATGAAGAATTAACAAATATCAATGGTGGGGGTGGTGGTGATTCATCTTCTTCGTTATCACCTTCTTTAATGGGAAATATGGAAAAACCAATCAACCTTTTGGAAAGAATAGAGAATCAATTATCAATTAATAGTTGCGGTGGTAGTGGTGGTGGGTACATCGGTAATGACGAAGAAATTGACTCATCCTCTAATAAAAATTGGAGAGTATTTACTCAATACAATAAAATTGAAAACACTTTAATCTAATTGTTATTTAAATAAATATTTTTTTTTAAATTTTTAAAAAAATTATAAAATTTAAAATTATTTTTTTTTAATTTTTTTTTGATTTGATTTTCAAAATAATATATTTGGTATAATTTTTTTTTTATTAAAACAACAAAGTGATGTTTGGGGTGGTTGGTTTTTTTTTTGAAATTATAATAAAATATGTCAAAAAAAAGGGTTGGGCGTTGAGTGTTTTCCTAAATTCCCAAGATTCTTTTTTTTTTAAAAAAAAATAAATGACAGAAATAGTTTTGAGAAAATTAAAATTATTTAAAAAAAAAATTTATATTTTTATGGTAAAAATTTTTTTTTTTTATAATCATATAGTTTTTTTAAATAAATAAAGATATAATGTATTATAAATTTGAAATTCCTGTGGATGATACAGGTTGTAATGGTGATGAAACCAATACTTTACTTATACCAACAGATTTACCAGAGGAACTAAATAATGTTTTAACTTTCGAAGAATATTTGTCTATTGTAAAAAAATGTAATAGTGCTTTTCATAAAAAATTTTATGCTTTTTTAATTTTTCTTGTAATAATAATTGCAATAGTTGTGGCATTACCTAAAGCCATGAAAAAAGAATTTGATTTTGGAATTTTTGCATTTATTGTTTTTGGTAGTGTTATTTTTTCAGTTTTTTGTGTAGTGATTGTTTACTTTATTATAGTAAGTATTTAGACTATTTTTTTTATAAAAAAAAAATACTAATTATTTTACAGCTTTATAAACAAATAAAATATACAATTAAAAAATTAAATTTACAATATTCCCACAGGAATTTTAACATTTCATATGACAAATACCCAAGCCAAAGTTTATTTAGGGTTAATATAAATTATAGTATAGTCCAAAATACAACTCCACAGCATACACAAGGGGAACCACAATCATCAAGTATTGGAATTGAATTACACTCTTTTTCCAATTTATATCCACCAGAGACTAGTATAGATCTTCAAACTTCCCCAGAAGTAATGGAAACACCAAGCTACAATATAGACTATAATACAACATACGAAGATGCATGTGATAACATTCCATATGAAATGTTTGATGATGATAAAAAAAAATAATATAAAAAATAAATCAATAAATATAAAAACCAATAAAATTAAAAATGGTTAAATTGTATACAATATATTTAAACCTTCATTAAATATTACATGAGGTGTTAACTCATGTGCACAACAAAAAAGAGTCATAACATCCCTTCCTATCTAATTCAGGTGATAATATCAGCAATAATTTCTGATATTCAATTTTAATCATCATACTTAATTATATAATCAATAATCATTATAACCAATGACATACTTCATTAAAATATTTGTTAACAAATTCCTATAATTGGTTATTTAATAATTTTAGTTTTGTTTCATATGTAAATAAATTTAAATTTCTAAAAAAAATAAAAAAATATTTTAAATTAAAAAGTTAAGATTATAAGGTTTTTATTATTTTTTAATTTAACATAGCATTATTCCATACTTAATTCAAATGATTTTTTGAGAATATAACCTGGTTTCTATTATTAATTTTTTATTTACTTGTATATTATATATTAAATAATTGATTATAAGTTTTGAATTTTAATAATTAAATGCTAAATAATCTTTGATATATTTGAATGATACACAATAGTTGATATTATATATATATATTATGAATTTAACATAATACTTGATATTTTTATCGTTATTCTCAGTTTTCACCAATTATCGTTAACCTATTCATTTAAAAATTATTTTATTTATTTATACTATTAGCCACTCTTTGTAAAGAGTGTTTCCAGCTCTACCACGGGGAGGTTAGTATATTAGAGCCGAATGGTTAATTATTTATACCTTCAGGCAGTATAAATAATTAAACACTATATTAAAAATTTGTGGTTAATTATGTGTACCACCACGCAGAATACATAATTAACCACCACATTGAAAATTAGGTTAATTTCAAAAACATAGATACCAAGGGCCCAACTCAGTATCTATGTAATCAAAATACCTATTGGGAGTTGATTTGATATATTTAATTTTAAATAGTATTTGATATGTTTAAATGTTAAATAATCCTTGATATTTTAAATGCTAAATAATATTTGATGTTTTTGAACAGTTATAATTCCACTCGATATGTTTAAATACTATATAATGCTTATTATTTTTAATCCTAAATAATCGTTGATATTTTTGTATTCCAAATAATATTTGATATTTAAAGATACATAATACTTGATATTTTTATTTTTAATGATCCATAATATTTGATTTAATTTGAATGTTACACAATAATTGATATTTTTTAATGATCCAATAAAATACTTATATTATAATCGTTATACAATAAATCTTGATATTATTGAATGATCCAATCCACTTGAATGTGTATAATGATTATAAATTTTATAAAATTATGGTATATCAAAATAAAAAAAAAAGATAGTTGAATTATAATAATTAAATGCTAAATAATCCTTGATATATTTTAATGAGACACAATAGTTTATATTTTTATATGCTATAAAATACTTGTTATTTTTAATGATCCATAATATCTGATATTTTGAATGTTACAATTGTATCAAAATAAACAAAAAAACTATAGTTGTATTTAAATAATTAAATGCTAAAAAATCCTTGATATATTTTAATTATACATAATAGCTGATATTTTTATATGCAATATAATACTTGATATTTTTAATGTTCCATAATATTTGATATATTTTGAATACTTCACAATAATTGGTATTTTTAAATAATCCAATAAAATACTTATACTATAATTATTATACAATAAATCTTGATATTCTTGAATGATTAAACCCACGTGGAGGTAAGTATATCAGAGGCGAATGGTTAATTATGTATCCCACCACGCAGAATACAAGAATTGTAAGTATATTAGAGCCGAATGGTTAATTATGTATCCCACCACGCAGAATACATAACTAACCACCATATTGATAATAGAATGAAATGAAATGTAATGGGTGAATTAAAAAAACAACAAAGAAATGTAGTGGGTGAGTATATTAGAACTGAATGGTTAATTATGTATCCCACCACGCAGAATACATAATTAACCACTATATTGATAATAGAATGAAATGAAATGTAATAGGTGAATAATTAAAATAACAAATAGATGTAGTGGGTGAATAAAAAAACAACAAATAAATGTAATGGAAATTTGACTTGACAAAGCTACTTATTTACATCCAATAAAAAACAATTAGTTGATCGAAAACTTGATTGAATATTAAACAATATTTGATATTTTTAAATATTACATAATTCATGATATTTTTCAATGCTAATAAAACTTGATATGTTTAAATGATAAAAAATTCTTGATATTTTTAAATAATACATAATTCATGATATTTTTCAATGCTAATAATACTTGATATGTTTATATGATAAATAATATTTGATATTTTAAATGCTAAATATTACTTGATATGTTTATGTGATAAATAACACTTGATATATGTGAATATATTAGAGCCGAATGGTTAATTATGTATCCCACCACGCAGAATACATAATTAACCACCATATTGGAAATAGAATGAAATGAAATGTAAAGGGTGAATAGTTAAAACAACAAATAAATATAGTGGGTGAGTGTATATTAGAACTGAATGGTTAATTGTGTATCCCACCACGCAGAATACATAATTAACCACCATATTGATAATAGAATGAAATGAAATGTAATGGGTGAATAATTAAAATAACAAATAAATGTAGTGGGTGAATAAAAAAAAAAATAAATATAATGGAAATTTGACTTGACAAAGCTAAAATTTTTTTAAAGCACTTGTTTCTTGTTGGTGCTGCTAAATAGTCCTTGATATATTTGGATGTTACACAATAATTGATATGTTTATTTTTATTTTTATCTATATTTATATTCTATTTCTTTCAAATTTGATTTCTATACTTGATATTTTTGTGTGATCCATATTACTTAATATTTTTTAAATGCTATATAATATTTGATATTTTTTATGATCCATAATACTTTTTATTTTATAAATGCTAAATATTTGATACTTTTGCATGATCCATATTACTTGATATTTTTGTATGAATCATATTACTTTTTATTTTATCAATAATACTTACCAATAATCATTACATTCAATAAAAAACAAAAGATAATTGATTGAAAACTTAATTGAATGATAAATAATATTTGATATTTTTTAATGATAAATAAAACTTGATATGTTTAAATGCTAAATAAATATTTGGTATTTTAAATGATAAATATTGCTTGATATTTTTTAAATGCTTAATAATACTTGATATTTTTGTATCATCCATATTATTTTATATTTTTTAAATGCTAAATAATTGAGATTTTTATATCATCCATATTACTTGATAATTTAAATGCAAAATAATACTTGATATTTTTTAATGATAAATAAAACTTGATATGTTTAAATTCTATATAAATATTTAAATGCTAAATATTACTTGATATTTTTTATGCTAAATAATAGTTTTGATATCTTTATGATCCAAAATACTTAATCAATTTTTTATTTACTTGTATATTATATATTATAATTGATTTTTTTTTATTATCACACTACATTTTCCAAAATATTTGATATATTTTTTATTATCACGCTGCATTTTCCAAAATATTTATTTATATTATTTTTATTTTATTTTTTTTTTTTCTTTTAAATCAGATATAAATATTTATTAATTTTTAAATAATTTTTTTGAAATTATTTCTTTTTCTTTTTTTTTATAGTTTTTAAAAAAATTTTATATATTAAAATTTTTTTTTTTTTCTTTTTGATGCTAAAAAATCATTTATATGTCTTTATGATAAAAAATCCTCGATAACTTTAATGCTTAAAAATCATTTATATGTTTTAATGCTAAAAAATCCTCGATAGCTTTAATGCTAAAAATCTTTTATAAATTTTAATGCTAAATAATCCTCGATATGTGATTATATTTTTTTTTTTTTTTTTTAATGATATGCTTTAATAATCTAAAATAATTATTTTGATCCAATAAAAAGATAGCGTTAATGCTAAAAAATCCTCGATAGTTTTATTGCTAAAAAATCATTAATATTTTTTTAATGCTAAAAAATCCTCGATAGCTTTAATGCTAAAAAAATCTTTTATATATTTAAATGCTAAAAAATCCTCGATAGTTTTATTGCTAAAAAATCCTCGATAGCTTTAATGCTAAAAAATCCTCGATAGTTTTAATGCTAAAAAATCCTCGATAGTTTTATTGCTAAAAAATCCTCGATATGTTTTGATAATATTTTTTTTTTTTTTTTTTTTTTTTTTTTTTGATTTTTTTTTTGATCCAATAAAATACTTACCTTATAATATAACTTGATAATCTTGAATTTACCTGAATGTGTATAATGAAAAAAATAAATTTTATGAAATTATTTTCTTTAAATACTTTTTAGTTTTTTATAAAAAAAATTATAAAAAAAAAAAAATTTAATTCAAAATTAATTAATTAATTGATCTATAACTATTTCCTAATTTATTTAAAACATCAATTCCAAAATAAGTAAAATTTGTATTGTAGAAAAAATGTAGATCTGCTACAATCAAAATTGGTAATAATTTGAAACAGGGGAGGTTTTTTTTTTTTAAAATTTTATAATTTTCAAATAAATTAAACACATCTTCCTTTTAAAGAAATCATTTTTCCATTTATATTATTTTATTATAATTTATTTCATAATTGATATGTGGAAAAGGAATAAAGTAAGAATTTGGTAGTTCATTATATGATAATCAAATTGGTATGATAGCTGAATGAAAAAAAAAAAAAAAAAAAAAAAAAAAAAAAAAACAAAAAACAACTTTATTTAATTTTATAAATTTAATTTTTTTTTAAATTTCTTTAAAATTTTTTAATAATTTTTTTATTTTTTTTTAATTAGGAAATTTAATTACAATGAGCGCTTTTTTTTTTAAATTTTTAATTTTATTAATTATAATATTTTTTATTTTCCTTTTCAAAAACCTTCACAAAACCATATTAATCATTTTTTCTTAAAATAATAAAAACCTTGTTTATTTTCAATTTTATTTTAAAAAAAACATAATAGATGCACAAATTTTTTTTTTTTGAAATTTTAATTTAGTAAGATGAATTTTAAAAAAAAGATAGTTTTTTTCAAAAAAAGAGATCATTTTCTCTAAAAATTTTTAAATGAATACGCTGACGATAATTGGTGAAAACTGAGAATAACGATAATTTTTAATCACTAAAAAAAACCGAAAATATATTGTTTATTGTATCTTTATTGTTATTAAAGCAGTTCCCATTACAGAGTCACATCCTTGATATAATACTAAAAATTGATCATTTCCTAAAGGAACCCAACCTTCAACAAATATTACGAGAGGTGTTAATCCATGCGTAGACCAAAATAAAGAAGTGTCATCACATAATTCCCAATCTAATTCTGGTGAAAATAAAGGTGTTGGACTACGATATAGAATTGATTCGGATGAAAAATCTTCAGAGGTACCGTTTAAAATGACAAATCCTAAATTATATTGTATATTCCAATTTGGTTTTTGATTTGGTGTTTGCACTTGTTGACCACTATTGTAAAGATATAACCAGTTACCATCCGATAGCTGTAATGGCTCTGGTCCAGATTCGACCAAAACAGAATCAAAAAAGGTATTATCTCTAGTTGTAAATAAAGTTGTTCTTTCTGAAGTTGATTGATTCATTAATGTTGAATAGTTTATTAAATCTGTAGTGGTTGCAATAAAGATATTGGTGTCCCCATAAAATAGATACTGTGTTTCCTTTTCGGGTCTATAAAGTAAACCGGCTGATTTAGACCAAAATACAGAGTTTTCGATAATTGGTCCGTGTAAAACCCAACAGTTTTTGAAATCTTGGATGGTTAAAACAGAGGTGGTATCACATGTTGCCAATGCTAGTTGTGCACGTGCATTTGTACCGTTCATATTTACTGCAGTGTAGTACATATAAATAGTTGATCCAACCAATACAATTCTGGGATCTTCTGCTCCAACGTATTGAAAAGAGGCACTATCAGGTCCTGTAATAAGATAGTCTGGGTCTGCCATATGACTTGTATTAAATCTACATTGATCTAAATTCCCACCTTCACATACACCATAGGCATAAACAATTGAACTTGGACCAACAGAGTAAATATTTGATGGATCATTTGTTAAATTTTGAACTCTAACAGCAACACCTATTATTTGATCAGATGGGCTATAAAGTTTTACAATTTCGGGGGGTACGAATGGACAATATGCTACATTATAGTTATAAAGCCATGGTGATTCGTCTGATGGGTTATTTTGTTGTAGTCTAAATGAATCTAGTAATGGTAATCCTAAATTATTATTTATCCTTTCCATAGATATGGTATATTCATTTTCTTTAATTTGAAATTTTAGTTCTTTTGTTTGAACGCTGTTAAAAACTAAACCTAATAATAATAATAATAATAAAAATTTATAAAACATTTTTTTTGGTTAGTAATTTTAAAAATAATTTATTTAGTTTATTTTACAAAATAAAACCTTTAAAAAAAAAATAAAAAAAATAATTTTTGATATAAAAAAAAGATATTTTTTGATTTTTATTGATTATTATAAAATAAAATTAAAAAAAAAATATGTAAAAAATTTTATTTCGACAAAATAAATATTTACTTTTAATAGCAGGTGGGTAAATAACAGCAGCAGTCTTGATTGTTTTCAATATCATCTTTTTTACAGAATGGGTCTTGAATGTATTTACATTGTTGCGATGATCCTTCACAATTTAAATCTTCACAAGAAAGACATTTTGGTTTGTACTTGAGGCATTTGGGTTTAATTAAGAAACCATTTTCTCTTGAAGGGTGTTCAACACATATAGAGCCATATGGGCATCGATAATTATAACAAACTGAATGATGATCTGGAGGAGGATAATATGAGCTATCTCCGCTATAATGTGGTAAGGGATATTCAAATGAGGATGATGATAAAGTAAAAGGTGAGGTAGTATAGGGAGTTTGACTAGTAGTAGATGAAATAGGTGGTGATGTTCCACTTGTATCTGCTATAGAAGCTGTTGTTGAAGTTACATTGGTTGTACTTGTCGTTGTAGTTGTGCCAACAGCTGTGGCCGTACTTGTACTTGTTGTTGCTGCACCAGTAGTTGTAGCGGTTGTCATAGTGGTTGCAGTTGTAGTTGCAGTAGTGGTGGTAGAGATTGAAACTGTTGGAAAGTTATGCCCTGTTCCAGCATTAGTTAATGTAGTGGAGGTTGTAATTGTTTGAGAATTATGCCCAGCGGTGGTGGAGGTGGTTGAGGTGGTAACTGTTGTAGAGGTGGATTTACCGGTGGTGCCTGTTGTAGAAGTACCTGTTGTGGATTTACCAGGGACACCCGTTGTAGAAGTAGCTGTTGTAGAAGTAGCTGTTGTAGAAGTACCTGTTGTCGAAGTACCTGTTGTCGAAGTACCTGTTGTGGATTTACCAGGGACACCTGTTGTAGAAGTACCTGTTGTAGAAGTACCTGTTGTAGAAGTACCTGTTGTAGAAGTACCTGTTGTAGAAGTACCTGTTGTCGAAGTACCTGTTGTCGAAGTACCTGTTGTTGAAGTACCTGTTGCAGAGGTAGTGGTCGTGGTAGTTGTTAATACCGATTGGCCTTTGCAATATGGAGTTTTTTGACAACAAGATGTACCCAAGCATTTTGTAGTTTGGTGATAGTCACAAGAACTTCCATCACAGTCGATTTCTGCACATGTTGAGGCTAAATTTTGTAAAAAAATTTAACACTTAGTAAAAATATAAAATCTACATATATAATACTTAAAATATATACTTACGAGGCTCTACATATTCTAAAAAACCTGATTGAGGTTTACATATTGACCAAATTTCAACAATCTCACCAGTTTTTTCTTCAGTTGCACAGGTTATTTGATTTGTATAGCAAACATCGGTGGGATCATTTATACAGACCGAATATTGGCCACCACAACAACCTACAAATGTTAACCATTTACATTTTGGATAATAGTCAACACATTGTTGCTGGTTAATAATAGTTTCACAGTTATCTATATGATACAAATGAAAGAATATTGTTAATATTTGTTTTTTTAAAAAAACATTTTTATTACTTACCTGGTGTAGATCCAACACTTCCACCAACTGGAATAATTAAAGGAAGGCATTTACCATCATCGCACGATGAATATTCGTCGCATGATTTGTATGGAACACAAGTGTTGTTTATACATTTTCCAGTGTGGCAAGTGGATAAGTCGGTATTCCCTGAACAATTTTCCGTTTGATATCTACATCCATAACCCACTTCGCATGAATCAATAGTGCAGTCACTGCCGTCATCACAGCTTATACCTGTACAATCTTTAAAATCTGCATTTATAATTTGAATTAATAGATTTAAAACTATAAAAAAGAAAATTAATTTTATATTCATTAAAAATAAATTATTATAATTATACACATAATAAATTATTTATAGTTTGAATATATTAATATTTTATTAAAAAAAAAAAATTAAAAAACAATAATTACAATAATTACAATAAAAAAAAAAATTAATAAATAAAAGTATTAGATGAAAAAAAAAAAAAAAATAACCCACACTCCTATCATGATACACGAAATACAAATTTGTAAATTATAATTTAAGATAAAATGTGTGTTGTGTATCAAGGGAGTTTGTGTGTTGGTGTGTGGTATATTGGTGTGTTGGTGTGTTGGTGTGTAATATTTAATTTTAAAAAAATATGTAACTGTTTTATATTATTTCTATTTTAATCTTTCTAATTCTTTTTGTTTCAAGTCATATTTTGTGCAAAACTTTTCTATTATATTTGACTTTTCTGATTTCTTAAAAATCACCAACGAAGTAAGAGTATAATAAAACTTTTGAATTATGGTGTCATTTTCTTTTCTTGGGACAGTTCTTTTATAATATTCTCTTGAGTATAGCGATTCTACTGGTAAAAGTTCTTCAAAGTTCTCTAAAGCTGATAACTCCATTTCGCTCCAAAAGATATTGGTCTCTAAATCTAAAAGATTAACCAATTTTAATTCATACTCGTCATTGCATTCGCTGTTCATAGTATTATCTGATGTTGATGAAGTTGTTGATTCGCGCATAATATCTAAAGTTGCCAAATATACATTGTAATCATATAGTTGAGTGATACTTCTTAATTTCTCTGCTACCAATCTATCATGGCCATCACACAGCTCATTAGCTGTTATTGGATTTCCTACACCGTAGTCATAGGTGTTTTCTAAGATATAAATAAACTTTAATCCCTTTTCTCTTGAATACATCTTATTTAATTCTTTTGCAATACTTTGAATATTTACTTGGTAATCTAATTTATTTTGTTCTAAACTTTTTACTGATATATTAGATACTATTGCTGGTTGCTGATTTGAATCTTCATTTGTATCCATCATACCACTATTGTTATTAGTATTATTATGTAATTTATCTATTACACTATATACCAATGCAACCCTATAACCCTCTGTAATTGGTTCACTTTCAACTATGCAATCATTATAAAATGATACAAATTTAATAGTTGAGCCTGTATTATTTTCTAATGGAACAATGGTGGTGTTTGAATTATAAATTATTTTTAAGTCACCTCCTTTACTATTTGTTGGTAATATTAAAAATAATTGGGCAAATTGAGCATCATCATTATAGTTTGAGTTACTATTATTATCTTTTTTGTGTGGCAAAAAGAACGATCCACTTTCTAATATTAAAAGCTTTTCATTGACAAATTCAATTCTTTGATTGTTTGAGTTTGGTATGCCTAGGGCCTTTACAACATTATTTGATATTTGAGTAAATACTGAGCTCCATGTTTTTGAATCTATTTTAAAATTATTAGGTGTAATTTTCCAAATTTTACCAATATTTGTTGTCTCTTCTTGACCAAATCTACTGATGACCTCTTTTAACTGTTCGCTGTAGCACGGGAATGACATATAACCAATTTCATTTATATTAATCGATAATGGTGCTTCGATATATCCCTCACTATATATATTTGCATTATTTAAAACTGATTCAAAATTTAAATCCTTTTGTAACAAGTCTTCTAATTCATATAACTCTTCATTGTATTCTATGTTATTCCTATTATAATCCAAAAATTAAAATTTAGAATTATTTTATTTTTTTATTGAAAATATAAAAACTATTCAATAATTACATTTTTAATATGTTTATTACTTTAAACTTTATTTATTTTTATTGTTATTGAATATTAATATAAAGCAATGCTTTGTAATAAAAAAAAAAAAAAAAGTAAAAATATGAAAATTAAAAAAAAAAATTAAATTTTTGAAAAAAAAATTATTTTAAAAAAATTAAAAAAATTAATGTTGTAAATTAAATTTTATTTAATTTTAATTTTAATTGAAGTTCAAAAAGGAATTCCTTTTTTTTGTAAAACAATTCAATATATTGTTAATTTATTGTGATGGAGCATCAGTATTAAAAACTCCAAGGAAAATAACAACAAGTGTAGTTGCTAAATTTATAATAGTGGATATGACTGTTTTTTTTTTTAAAAAAGAGGGGTTAAAAATTAATATTAAAAACAATCAATTGTTTAAAGATGGTTATAAATTTTAAAATACTTACTTATAAAAACAAATCCAACACTTCCACCCCATGTCAAACCATTATAGCTACCCATAAAATTATTTTTAACTTTATCGGCACACATAAAACTACTAGGGTATATTTTACAATCTCTCTTTCTAGCTTCAGTAACACCACAGAAAATGAACATTGAAAGTAAACAAAATATCAATGAAATGATTGGGATAAATTTAGCCAAAGAAGCCCCTGGGAATTTTGATAAGATGCCAGCGAGTTGTAAAATTACAAGTAAAGCAAAAATAGTAACAACAACTAATGCTAATACTGCAAAAGCAAGAGATGCACTGAAGATTTGAATTTGATTTTTATAAATACCTTTTTGAAATTCAGTAAATTTATAGAAATTTCCATTAAAGGAAAATCCATTATATTTATAGAAATTAGCATAATCATCTCCATCTCTGAACCAGTACCAAGGTGCTGTTTTAAAAATAAATTTTTAAAAAAAATGGTTAATAAAACAAATGAAACTCTAATATTATTTTAATTTTTCTACTTGCTTGCTAAACTAATAACTAAAGCAACCCATAAAATAATTGATAAAATCAAAGCAACAATAACTTTTGCATTCATTTTATAAAATTTATTTGTTTCTATTTGTTTATCTTTTGATTAAATTAAAATGATTTTTTAAAACACTTTTTTTTTATATATATAAAAAATTTTTTTTAAAAAAATACGTATGACCCAATTTTTGAAGAGTGTTTTTTTTTATTAAATATAAACACTTGTGATAAAAATAAATAAAAAAAATTTAAAATAAATTTTTCAAAGAATCAAAATTTTTTTTCTTGAGGATAAAAGCGAAAAAAACCGCATGTTGTTAAAAAATAGAAAAAGAAAAAATCACACAAATCAGCTGCTGGTTAATATTGACCAATCAAAAAAAAAAAAAAAATAAAAAATGTGCATTTAACCAAAATTTAAAAAAAAGAAAAAAAAAAAGAGAGAAATAAAAAAACAAGATAAACCATAGTATTATTTTATTTATTAAATATTAAGTTTTTTTTTAAAAATTATAATTTTCAATTAATTCAACAATTTTAATATTTTTAATATTTTTTGCATATGATAAAATTGAATCTTTTTTGAATTGTTTAAAATTTTGTAATAAAAATAAAAGTACATTTTGATGGTTGAAATATACGGCATATTTAGCGGCAGATTCGGGTATTTCGATCTCGGGTTTGTTTATATGAAGGAATTTTATTATATCCAAATGACCATTGGACGAGGCCATTTCATATGCCCTAAAAGAAGCAGGAACATTGAGAGATGTTAAATACTTTATCATTTCTAAATTACCTTTACAGCAGACGTTGTCGAATGTTGATGAACTACAATTAAAAACTGAAAGACTACTTTTAAAGAACTTTACCAATTCTAAATTACCATTCAATATAGCATTTCTAATGCAATTTTCGTCGTAAGTTGTTCCAATTCGTACCAAATATTTGCAAACATCTACATGGTTGTTTTTTGTGGCAATTGTAAGACCAATTCTGGTGGCATTATACCCCAAACCAATTAAATACTTTACAATTTCTAAATGACCTCCCATTGCAGCTGCATCCACAGTTAAATGTGAGAAACCGGCATAATTTCTATTTGCTAAGTGCTTGATTACATCGAAAAAACCTTTTCTTGCTGCTATATTTATTGAACTATCTGAATGTGATAATAAAAATCTCTCTTTTTCTAATAGCTTGATGATATCTAAAAAGCCACCTTTAATAGCATTGCTCAAAGCCTCTTTACCGTAGAGTCTAACTGCTCTAGGCTTTTCAGCCAGTATAAACTCTACTATCTGAAGGTGTCCTCCTTCACAAGCAATATCGAACGAACTATCTGCACACTCTATTGATGGAAATAAATAATCGATATATTTTACACACTCTAAAGAACCAGATTTACAGGCATAAAAAAATGGATTTAATGATTCATATGGACCATTAGCTCTCAAATAATCTATAAACTCTATTTTGTTACTATTTGCGCAAAAGTCAACAAAGGCATGATCTTTTTCCGAAGGATATATTTCTTTTGTTTTTTGAACATAAATTTTGAAAGTTTCTAAATCATCGATATGACTGATACACTCAAAGTGGTAAGCTGAATCTATAACTAAACCTGATGGGTGATGTAACTTGTCTTTAATAAGCCCATAATGATGATTTTTAATTATAAAACTTGTTTCTTTAATTTCTGAATATTTGAATCCTGTATCTTGAACAAAAGAAAATATTTTTCTAACAAGAACTAAATTTTTAAAAACTTTAAAAAATAAAAGTTCTCTATCTTCCATTTACTATTACTACTATTTATTTATTCTAATAAAAATATACATAACCAAATTAAAAAAAAAAAAAATTTAAAAAAAAAAATTTTTAAAAAAAAAAAGATTTTTTTTTTATAACACAAAAAATAAAAATAAATAAATCTTTAAAAAAATTATAAAAAATAAAGAATATACAATCAAACGAAAGATACTTGGAAATAGTTTAGACAAAATTAATATTTATTAAACAATTTTTAAACCTATGGAAATTTACACAACAATTATTTTTTCTTTTTTTCTTTTTTTAAAAATATAGTATTATTAATAATTTAAATATTATAAATTTATTTGTTTTTTTAAAAATTATTTATTTCATTGATTGATTGACTGATTTTCTTTTAATATAAAAAAAAAATGGTAATATTAATTAAAAAAAAAAATTAATGAACTGAGATCTTAATTTCTATTCTTTAATTTGTTCAACAGTGGTGTGGGTAAAGTGAGAAAGTGATGGATGACCTGACCAATCGATATAGAATGTACCACGTTCTCTCATATTTGCTTGAACTGATGAAGTATATAATTTACTCTTAAAATAATTATACATTCTATTTGATATTGGTCTAACTTGTTTATGAAATTCCCATTTTACGATTCTATTAGTTTGTTTTTCCTTGACACAACCAAATTCAAATGCCCATGAAATTGGTGACAATCCAAATTTACTAATATCTGCCTCCAAATCTAATAATAGACTTAAAAATATTGCTTGAATAGCTGGATCTATATAAAAATATTCCTAAAAATTAAAATATTAATAAAATGAATAAAAAACTAATTGGTTTTCAAATTTCATTTTTACATACTCTGGTTTGATACATAAAAGCATTATAAAATCTAAATGGTTTATTTAATAAGCAATCTCTGTTTTGAATTGTAGCTAAGTGGACCAATAAATTATTGATTTGTCTAATAAAAAATAAAAATTAATAATTTAATTAATAAAAAAAAAAAACAAATAAAATGAATAATTACTTTGTAACACCCAAACCAGGGTATAATTGGCCGGGTAATGGTGGTCTTGAATCATTAAATGATCTACTTGGGTCTTGTAAACATAACCATTCAATAGCAGTTGCTTTAATTGGGAAATCGATAAGCTGAATAACATTTTGAGTGGGTACTATGTCTTTCCATTCAAACAAATCACCATTTAATTTAAAATGTTGAATATATCTTGAATCTACAACTGGTGGTGGACCAGTTTGGCCTTTGTCGATGCCATCGTCATGCTTTTTCTTTTCATCCAATAGCTCGTAAACATTGATTTCCTTTCTTCTAACAAAGATATCAATGAGTGTATAATTCTTTTTAGTTTGAATCGATGTTGTTGGTTTAACTGTTGTTACATTGGTAGTTGTGGTAGTTAAATGGGGATCATGTGATGCAGTATTTTTATCTGGTGATAATGTGGATAAAATTGTTTTTGTTGTAATTTTTTCGATAGGGTTACATTCTGCAATAACTTCTAATCTATGAACAAATGGATCAGAGTAATCCAAAACAATTTGAGGATTATGGTAATTTCTTTCTATTAATTGTTGTATTATACCAAACTTTTCCATGAAACGCTTCAACTCGTCCAATGAATAGGTGTTCAATAACTTGTCACTTGATGAATGTGAATACAATGACTCTTCATCGATACTACCAATGTCCAAATCATCGAATCTTAGGTCAATTGGATTTGTATATAAATTGGTGATAATATCTTTAATTTGCTGAATTTTTGAACTCCATCTTTCACCCATACCATGAACAAAACTCTTTAAGTAACTTTCAATAATATGATATTGTATCATTATATAGTTATGACTATTCGAAGGTGACCTCTCTCTATTACTAGTATTGCTGTTGTGGTGGTGGTGGTGTTGGTTACTATTATTATTTGAAATAATTTTATTATTTGTTTCTAGAGTGCCAGAAATTATAGTTTTTATTAATGGTTCTGTATTATTATTTTCATTAATCAAAGTATTTGAAATAGTTTTATTTTTATCATTACTACTATTATTATTATTATTTTCATTTTCATTTTCATTTTTTAAACCTTCATTTGCCTTCAAGTAATTATTACTATTTTTTTTATTTTCCATTTTTATATTTATTTCATTACTATTATTTTTATCTACATTATTATTGTTATTATCTGTATTACTATCAAAACTACTATCTATATTATTAATTTCCATTGTACAGTATAACTAATCTAAAGTAATTTATATGATATTTTTTTGGTAAATAAAATTATAATCGTTTATATTTATTTGTTAATTATTTAAATAATTAAATCTAAAAACAATATTTACCACAATCCTATACAACCCCTTTTTGAAGAATTTTTATTTTATGTTTTTATATGTATTGGTTTATTTATTTATTTTTTTAATGTAGGATCTAAATTATAAATTATTAAAAAAAAAATTTACCCATGTGTGCTATTTTTTTATTTTTTTTTTTAATTTTTTAAATTACATTTCATCATCCATGACCTATTTTAAATTAAAAAAAAAAAAAGAAAAAAAATTATTATAAAATTATTTTTTTAAAATTAAAAAAAAATTATTTTTAATCTATATGATTTTTTTTATTTTATTTTTAATATTTTTTAACAAATAAAACTAAAAAAAAAAAAAAAAAAAAAAATTAATAAATAAATAATTAAATAAATAGATAAATCTTTTTTGTTTAAATCTTTGGTTTATTTTATTTTAAATTTTAAAAAAAAAAAGTTATTCGCATTTTTAAATGAGAATTATTTATTATTTAAATGGTAATTAGTGACTACCACTGTTTTAGTTGTTTGGATTGGTGTTTTTAATATGATTGGGTTCATCTTGTATAATTTGAGCTGGTTTGAAATTTTCATTACTTATATTACAATTGTTACTATTTTCGGGAACACGTGAATTTATGTCCAAACTACCAAAGTTATTATTTAAATTTATACTACTGTTGCTGTTATTTGAATAGCTATCACCATTAAATTCTGAACCCATTGCCCTTTTGGTAAGAGTATAGTCTGCACAAAGAGAACTAATTCTTAAATGAGTTTTCTTATTTCTAATGATTCTCTCTTCATTATTGGATGTTGCATTTTTAGGTTTGACTAAAAGACTAACACCATTATTATTACTATTGTTGTTGTTGTTGTTGTTGTTGTTGTTGTTGTTATTATCAACCATGATACCAATTGTTGAGCTATCATTACTATTATTAGTGCTTTCAACACCGAAATTACTTTCAAACATTTCCCTATTGTTACTATTTACATTAATTTTATCATTATTATTATTACCATTACTACTATTATGATTAATACCATTATTATTACTATTATTATTTACATTGTGTTCACTACTACTAGTATTTTTATTATCTAGTATTAGCTCCTCAGAGTCATCCTCGGAAATTGATGGAATTAAACTTGGTGAAAAATTTTTACTTCCCTTTGATTGCGGCGAAGGAATTTTACGGATACTGTATATAGATGAGTTTGAACCATTACCACTATTATTATTATTATTATTATTATTGTTATTGTTGTTGTTGTTATTGTTATTGTTAAAATTTATTGATGCTGTTGATACAAATGTTATTGTTGAGTCTTCATTATTATAACTATGCAAAGTATTTACACTATGTCTTCTTAAAGCCTTTACACTATTTGTTGTTTTTGAACTACCTACCCCCACAGATGAGGTATTACCATAGATTGCTAATGGTTTCTCTTGAAATGATAAAAAGGAACTATTTAATATTGGTGAATGTGCATTTACAGATGATGGAGCAGAGTGTGAACCACCATAAAATTGATTTCCTGACTCTAATGTTGAAGGTAAATTTGGTGTTATTATTTTATTATCACCCTCGCCAGTGCAACCATTGTAAAAACTGTTTGAAGGAGATGAGTGTTTTGGTGACAACGGCTCAGATGAATAGATTGATACCAAATTATTACTACTGCTATTATTGCTTAATGAAATACTATTAGAACTAACTGTAGTATTGGTACTGCTATTGTTGGTGGTATTGGTAATGGTGATATTTTCAGGTATTGATACTGATGGTAAAGAATGTTGTTGCTCTTCTTTTTTCGCTCTCTCTTCTTTTTCCCTTTGTCTTTCCTCAAGTACCTTTATGAGGTGCTCCTTATTAAAAATTCCATCTATCTATTTATATAAAACCAATTAATATATGAACATACTTTATACATATAAAAAAAGGTACTTACTTTAACTTCAATATCTATAGAATCTAGTTTTTGGTGTTTAATTTGACTAAAATCATTATATGACAAAGGATCAATCATTATCTTACCATCAATATAAAAAGACATTGCTTGTTGCTTTATAGAGAACTTATCAAACAACATTCTCTTTGTGGCTTGTACCGTTTCACCTGTTGTAACATTTAGTGAATATTTGAGATTTTCTGGAAAGTTTATATTTAATTCTAATGCCTGATGTATATTTGACTCTTGGTCATATGATTGAACCTTACTGTTATTATTATTATTGTTATTATTATTATTAATACTATTATTTGTTAAGTTACAGTCATTTTTAAAATGATCTGATAAATGGTTTAATGATAATATTTTTAAAGATGAAAATTTGGTAATGTTTTTATGAGACATATTTTTTTTTTTTTTTTTTGAAATTTACAAAGGTTTTTTTTTTTTTTATTATATACAAATAAACATATGCTATATATTTATGTATATATATACTATTATATACACATAAATACTATTGTTTTAATGGCTTATTATATTTATTCCCTTGTTGTATAATATGTTGGTTAGTGAGTTATAAAAATTTTTGTTTTTTTTAAAAAAAAATTTAATTAATTTTTTTCTTTTTTTTTTTTTTTTTTTTTTTTTTTTTTTTTATTTTTAAAAAACCAAAAAAAAAAAAAAATTAATTTTTTGGAAAGGATTTTAAAAAAAAGGATTTTTTTTTGGGGGAGGGGGGGAAATAATTTTTTTTTTTTTTTGGGGAAGATTAAAAAAGGTTTAATTTTTTTTTTTTTTTAAAAAAAAAAAAATTTATAATTAGGGGGAAAAAAAAAAAAAAATTTGGAGGGTTTTTTTTCCATTATTTTAATTTTTTAAAAAATTAAAAGAAGAAGCCCGGGGTATTTTTTTTTTAAAAAAATTTTTTTG